CCCAGAAGTACCAGAACAGGTTACTTCCGGGTTTCGGCGCATGCGCAAAAGTGCTGAATCACGCTTTGCGCATGTGCAGAAGCGCTGAATCGCAACCTGTGCATGTGCAGACACGGGTTGCGAATGCTGCGGGTTGTGAACGTGCATCCTGCACGGATCACATTCGCAACCCAAGTGTCCACTGTATCTACAAACACACACACACACTGCAGGAAAAATTGTAAGGGTCTTCTCCCCCCAGCCTGCCAGCCTCATAACATTGAATGTTGGCTGAGTGAGGGTGAAATAGAATTGATTGTTGATACAGTAAGACAGATTATATTATTTACATATCTACATCTACAAACACACACTTTTTGATTGGGTAGAAAGAACCATATTATTGTATATGTAGGTCACTTTCTGGTCCACACTGAAAAGCTATTCTTAAATGTCCCCAGAGATGAAAGAGGGGTGCGGGTGTCCACATAAATCATTGAACAATCCAAATAATTTAATGTAGGTGGTCATCTGTGTGTCCACCCAAAATCCAAAGGTGAAAAATGGAGGGGGAAACCCTGCCGACATCCACTGCACCATTTGGTTGCAGGGCCCCAGGGTAGAATAATATTTCTCCAGATAGTTGGAAAATGAAGTAGTGTTGATTCATGAAATGATCTTTCTATGTTCATCTTGTTGAAAATGGTATATTTAAACTGTAACTTCTCTTCCCAAGTGTATGGCATGGGCTGATAAAGAGTTGTAGTCTTTCAACATCAGGAGAGCCCCAGGTTCCCCATCCATATTATAAGTTGCCCTGATAATTTGTTGAAGATTGGGATATAAATAAAATAAGCAGCCTATTGAAGTTGTGATGGAACAAGCTTATTTTTTTAAAAAAAGATAAGTGCCACTATTTTAGGATTATTGAAATTCCTGCATTGCAGGTGGTTGAGCTAGGTGACCCTAAGGTTCCCTTCCAAATCTACAATTCTGTGACGGCAAACAAATTGTTTTGGAAGGAGCTCCAAACCTTGTAGGAATTTGTGAGACTTGACTGGATGATGTCCAGAATCCTGTGTTGAATGATGGTGATGGTATTTTCAGACCACAGAGACCACTGAAATTGAGTACATAATGCTGAGTACATATTATGAGTACATCATGATATAGGAAAGCAAACTGTGCCTTTCCATGTATCCCCCCCCCAATTTTAGAAATTAATTATTTCATAAATTGCATAGCAACTTAATGAGCATATAGTCAGGTTAGATAACAGGAGAGGTTACAATACAAATTTAAAATCAATATTGTGTATTATTTTTTTAAGATGACTAGAATGCCTTCATTTCCCCCCTGAAAAATCTTAAGGCAAATGTATATTCTGGAAAATACCTGGAACCTACCCTGTTCTAAAATGAGATCCTCTGCTATACATTACAAGTGAGGGATAGACAGTGTGATGCGCTCCAGATGTTGGACTACAACCAGTGCTATTTTTCTAGATAAAGAGGTGCCAAAATTCACCATAGACACCTCCCTTGCTCTTTTATAATGGCAATGGCACCCACCTGAGAGGTGCCAGAGCAATGTTCCGGCGAGTTCCAGCTGACAAAAAGCCCTGACCATAACTCCCATCAGCCTCAGCTAGCATAGGTAATAGATGATGGGCGTTATAGCCAAACAACATTGGGAGGGGGCCACATTTGCTATCTTGCTATAGATTCCAGTGTTAGAAAATGGGATAGGAATACTAGGAGCCATGTAGCTCCTGGAACCTAGGTTGCGGGTGCCAAAATAAAATGTCACGGCACTCCCCCCCCCCCGCCCCCTTCCACACCAGGCAGCCCTGCGGCAATAAAAATAAAAATTACTGCTGGGTGGATTTTTCGTGAATCGGGGTCTGCAGGTTCTTTTGCTACTGCTCTACCCTGACAAACATCTTGCTCACTCAGTAGCTCTGCAGCAGCAATTCATTCATTTGTTGGCTGCTGGGTGAATCGGGGGGGTGGGGTTGTCAGTACGCCTTTGAGCTGATGCCAGCGACTGGGCTCGATATCTGGAACTGCCCCGACTGGGCTAGGTGAACTGGAGCACTTCCAGAGACCTTTCACTCCTGGAAAGCACGTCTAAGTGCACTGGACCCACAACTGTGAGTTGTGAGCACCAAACTCAGCAGAGTATGAACAGCACAGAAGAAAGCTGTGAAGCATAACTTCTTTTATTTTCTAATAGCTATTGCAAACTAAAACTAAAGAGCTACTGGCTTGCATGAGTGTTACAGCTCTCACTCAGCCATCTAATCTCTACAGGGATAACACTCAGACTCCACACAGAGTCAGGCAGGAGCGGAAGAAGCGAAGAGCAGTTTCCGCCCCCTCCTTTCTGAAAACATCAGGAGATTCTTGCAATGGGAGGGGGTGAAAATATCCACAGGGGTGTCTGGTCTACCTAGCAGTGTGAATTCACCCAGTGAATCAGGGTCTGGAGGGTAGCGTGGCAGCAAAAGATGCTACTGCTTTACTCCGCCAAACAGCTGATTCACCTGGTGGCGGCAGCAGCAGCAGCAAAAAACAAAGACGTGTCTTTTGCTGCCATGCTACCCTGCAGACCCCCTGAATCAGCCGGCCAGGCAGGTGGAGATGCTAGTTGCCAAAAGTGGCTCCTGGATATTTCCATCAAGTCGCAAAAGGCCGGTTGCCAGTCGCAAAATGTGACTAGCATCCGCTAATTTCAAACTCTGATAGATTCTGTATGTATAGGGTTTAAATGACTGCCTATCAAAATAAATACAGTGGACCCTCCGGGTACGAATTAAATTTGTTCGGGTGGTCTGTCCGCAACCTGAAAAGTCCATAGGCAGAGCGCTTATGTGCATGTGTGCTCGGTGAAACCTGGAAGTATACACTTCCGGGTTTGCCGCGTTCGTATCGTAATGAAAGTTACGTATCCAGAGCGGTATGTAACTAGAGGGTCCACTGTAAATGGTCTGGTTAACATGACATACTGAGTTGAACCTTGGCTTAGCAAGATTGCATGAATGGTCTATGCTTTCAGTTGCTTTACTCCTCCCCAGTCCTTTTTTGCTACTGTAGCCAGGTAAGCCAAGATTTGAATGTACAGTGGTACCTGTAGTTGCGGACTTAATCTGTTTCGGGGTGCACTTCGCACCCCAAAAAGTCCGCAACTGGAGTGCCTCTTCCGCGCATGTGTGCGGCACGATCGAGTGCTTCTGCGCCTGCGTGAAGTGCACAGATCACTTCTGCACATGCACATGTGGCGAACCCGGAAGTAAACACTTCTGGGGTTGCCGCCTTCGTAAGCTGAAAGTCCGTAACGAGAGCAGAACTACCACTGTAGTATGTTGTCTGAACCAGGACCAGTGATTAATCTGTCTTCTCACTACTCACATTCTGTAAACAAGGTTGCTTCTGTTTCACTGGTTGGAGAAGGCATTTGAAGGGAGATGGTAGAGCGGGGTAGCAAGAGACAGTTGCGGGAGGCAAACACAGCCATTGACTTGTGAGAGACGAATACATATTTGCTGTGCTGATACTGGTATAGCATGATATCCAACAACAGGTTCACCGATAGCAATGCCTTTCGTATAATACTACATTCACCTGCAATTACCGTATTTTTCGCTCTATAAGATGCACTAGAGCACAAGACGCACCTAGTTTTTGGAGGAGGAAAAGAAGAAAAAAATATTTTGAATCTCAGAAGCCAGAACAGCAAGAGGGATCGCTACGCAGTGAAAGCAGCAATCCCTCTTGCTGTTCTGGCTTCTGGGATAGCTGTGCAGCCTGCATTCGCTCCATAAGATGCACACACATTTCCCCTTACTTTTTAGGAGGGAAAAAGTGAGTCTTATAGAGCAAAAAATACGGTACTTCCCACACAAATATTGTGTGCACAGAGGACAAGCTTCATTCACAGTAGATGCCTCTTACCTCAGTGAGAAAATTGCCATCTTGGGCCTGAAATGTTGGTGTTCATTTCATCTTCCCTCCTGACAAAGGGATTGTTCCAGTTTATTGTTAAGTATTCCTTATGCTATTCACTTAATGAGTTTTCATTTTGAAAACAGTTGCTCCTTTGCCATCCTGCTCCCTGAGCTGCAATTTCCCCATCAGTGGAACAGATGTGTTGGTTACATGCTGGATTTGCAATTTCAGTTATTAAGATTATAAAATGAAAGCCTTTTCCCTGGAAAAACCAGTCCTATAAATTAGCATGCACCAGAACCTACCTTAAATAGTGAGAAAATATGCAAACTTTTGATGTGATTATCATACTTGGAAAAAGATAAGTGCCACTTGGCTTGAATTACACAGATCAAGAACGCAGTTCATCTTACAAATGGGTCTAAATTGCATTAGTATCACAGTTGGCTGCTAAATAGGGCTTATTGGATACATTTGAGCACAAGTAGGTTCCATGTTATTTTTGGCTGGGATCTGACATCTGTCCCAATGCTTACCCCCTGAACTCTTGCTGGTAATGGATCGTGTAGCTCAAAGGAGAAGCAGCCCATCTTATCTCTGAAAGAAGCCACCCAGAACAGTGGATTACATTACGAACATTGGTATTGATTTGTTTGCTATTGTTTACAGATTCAGAAAAACTACTGTGACACAAAGACTGATCTATTTGGCATTATTTTTTCTAGGCACGTTGGTATCTGATGCCAGCAATACTTTTGATTGCTGCTACAGATATAATTATTGTTTAGGAAAGGAAAAAAAGTCTAGCTTTATAAGTCTGTTTTAGGTGCCACTTAGACTTGATATTATTTGAGATGATAGTGAATGAAGGATAAAGAAGCCAAAAAATAGCATAAACATGGGCCTTGGTCATAACTAGTATGAAGTAAAAATCATAATAATTCATCTTGAATACAATCCAGTATTTGTTGCTTTGATTTCTGCAGAAACTCCTGAAGATGATTTTTTCTATGAGTTCAGTTGCAATAGATCAGCTTGAGAATTTTACAGTGTTGCTTTTTTTTTTGGTTGAAGTAGTACAAAATGTCAAAAATTAGAAGGAAGGTCACAGTGGAAAATACCAAGACCATATCTGATAGCACATCCAGAAGACCCAGTGTATTTGAAAGACTTGGACCCAGCACTGGAAGTACTGCAGAGGTGAGTTGAAAAGTATTATTTGTATTTAATGTAGCCCCTCCTCTCGTAGAGCAGACATGTTTGGGAATAGTGTTTCACTTCCCTCAGTTGTGGGAGTTTATGAAGGCTTTTTTATTGCAGTCGGATGCCTTGTGGACTATTATGCTGGGGGCATTAGAGCATGGCACATCCAGAGACGAGGCTGGGTGGAATGGACAGAGAGCCATGTTCCGAAGTAACATTGTTGGCTTTCTAAATATGGTTCAGGGAGATGGGAAAGAGCGTTGGGCCCACATGCTCATTTCTCTATGTGCCAACTATGGTGCTGCTGCCCTGATTAAACTACCGTATTTTTCGCCCTATAGGGCGCACCCAGTTTGGGGGGGGGATAAAGAAAAAAAATTATCCCCCCCCCCAGGCGGGGCTGGGGCGGGGGAAGCCCGAGCTTACCCCAGCCCCCAGAACAGGCTGCTATCCGCAAGCGGAACTCCCGCCGGTCTCCCCAGGCTTGCGGATATCTGCCCGAAGCCCAGGGCGCGCTCCCCGGGTTTCGGGCTGCAGGCTGCTGTCCACAAGCCTTGGGAGCCTGGCGCGACTTCCCGCCAGGCTCCCAAGGCTTGCGGAGAGCTTCCTGAAGCCTGGAGAGCGAGAGGGGTCGGTGTGCACTGACCCCTCTTGCTCTCCAGGCTTCAGCGAAAGCCTGCATTTGCCCCATAGGACACACACACATTTCCCCTTCATTTTTGGAGGGGAAAAAGTGCGTCCTATAGGGCGAAAAATATGGTAACTTACAGATCCTCGTTGCATCCAAAATGGGCACTGTGGGTTTAGTGTTAGGATCAGGGTCTTAAACCAGAATCTACCCCATTTGCAACACTGAAGCTGCCATGTGATGAGAGAGCATGGCCATGTGGAGCTGATGCTTTCCCCAGCTTAATAAATTACGATTTACTAAGCAAGGAATGCTAAATCCAAATTGGCTTGCACTCTCTTATGATATTTCTTGGGGAGAATCTGTGGATAACTTTTGATTTCATAATATGGTATCCATGTGTGGAATAGAGAATACATTTCCCCCAAGCGAGATTGGCTACAGGCTTGTTAAGGTAGTGGTGGTGTTGTCTTTCCCTGTTTAGTGCAGCTTGGCTTCATGGCTGCAACCATTTAGACATTCCTCTTCTGCAGGTTCCCTTGATGTAATGCACCTTGTTTATTCCTGTGGCCTATAGTCTGAATTATGCAGGGAGTTAACGGTTGAAGGACCCTTCTGTGGGATGTGGCGAGACGGCAATTTGTTCTCAGTGCCATTTCTCAGATCTGTTGAGTGCTATAATTATTGAGGACCATTTATTTATTTTTGCTTTTTTGTTCAAAATGTACCCATACCCTGTAGGATGTGATGTGTGCATGGATTAATTGTACTTGCTTCTTTTAAAGTAGATGATTGGTCATCAGAAAAAAGACACACGAGAAAGTGTTTACATGCACACTTCACATCTGAGGTAGTACACATTAAATTTATGAGTCACCTACAGTGGTGCCTCGCAAGACGAAAAGAATCCGTTCCGCGATTCTCTTTGTCTAGCGGTTTTTTCGTCTTGCGAAGCAACCCTATTAGCGGCTAAGCGGATTAGCGGTTTAGCGGCTATTAAAGGCTTAGCGGCTTAGCCGCTAAAAGGCTATTAAAGGCTTAGCGGCTTAGGAAAAAGGGGGGTGAGCGGGGGGGGAAATCGCAAGACTAGCAAGACGTTTCGTCTTGCGAAGCAAGCCCATAGGGAAAATCGTCTTGCGAAGCAACTCAGAAACGGAAAACCCTTTCGTCTAGCGGGTTTTCCGTCTTGCGGGGCACCACTGTATTTAAAAAGCCTGTTTTGAGGCCACCTACTATTTAGATGAGATGAGCAGCATACAGCTAAGCGGAGTACAAAATCATGACTAAACTACATACGTCAACAACTTAAGAACAAATGTCTGCAAGTGTGCGTGTGCGCACAGACACATATATAAAAGCAGAAATCCCTATCAGATTAAACAACACCAATAAACAATATTAAAACACTGGCTGATAAAATGAACTAAGGTTGTTAAAAATGCTGAAAACCATTTAAGGGCCTGGAGAAAAGAAATGTCTTCACCTGCATTACGTATCAAGGTAAAGTGCGATTTTGACCCTTAGTTTGGTGAAGAGATGTGGCGAGGCAGTGTAGTTAATGAAAATGCATTTTGAAATGTCTTGGGATGATCCAAAGTCTCATACAGGAGCACTATCAGATCTAAGACTATTGATTTTCATCAAGTTACTGTTGGGTGGGAATAATATGTGGAATTATTTGTTTTGTGAATTTTCACACAAACAGTACTTCCAAAATTAGTTTGAAATTCACCCAGTAATGTCTGTCTCTTAGACACAGTGCCGTAACTGGCTGAAGACTGGCAACTGCCTCTATGGGAACACATGTAGATTCGTACATGGCCCTTCACCACGAGGTAAAGGCTTTAGCAGCAGTTACAGAAGGTAAATGAAGAACTCAGCTTTATATTCACATGCTTGCAAAAGCTGTTTTCTTGTAGTTCTTTAAAACTTACAATGCAGCAATATGGCTTTATTAAAAATACAATTAATTTGGAAGTGTGATTATGCCTTGCCTTTTGAGTGTAACTTCAGATTGATAAAATGTTCTTGTTGCATATTAATTTTTGCTTGAACAATTTTAACCTGATGTCAAATGGGAATGGAAAACCTAATAAATGTATGGTTGCATAATGTTACTGCAGCTTCTGATTTGCTCAAATTTTTTATTGCAGCTGCTTAATACAACACTAAAAATCTCAACCTATGACTTCACCACAATCATTATTATTAGCTAGACAGTAAAACGGTTTACTGTACATTCACAATGTAGCATACCTTTGTGCCAAAACTGTGCTTTTATAACTGTGTCTCTACCACCAGAAGGCAGGATTAAAAATACTGCTTTAAGTGAAAATATTGTTTTGATTTGTAACTCCTGAAGAGCTACAGTTGTCTGTGTTTTCACTTTATGTAGCATTTTTTAAAGCTAAAATGCTTAAGATTGAATATCTAGTATATGGAATTAATTTACAATTAAGACTGAATACTATGCAGTTAAAGATCTTCTGTAGGAGACTTAGGCTATAATCCTATACACAGTTACCTAGGAGTAAGCCCTTTTTAACGCCGTGGAACCTGCAGCTGGGTAGACATGCATAGGATTGCAACGTTAACGATTGCTGAGAAATTATATGTCTCGTGATGCTTTTAGGAATCATTTATTTTTTACTATAAAAGAGACACAGAGAATGAAGGACAGCTGTGATGTGAAGCACAAGGTTATGATTGACATTTATTACTCTCACACGAGCATGGAATTGCAATGAGGACTTGCTTCCCATTTGTAAATGCTTTTGTTGATTGCAGACTAAAAGATGCTAAGATGTACTCAGCCAGCAAACAATTACTCTGTAGGTATTATAGATTCAGGGCACCAGTGATGAAAGGAGAATGAAACCAAACAGAAGATTAAAATATTATTTCCTCACCCCACAGTAGATGTCTTGGTGTAAATTCATTTGCTAGTCTTGATTATACATAGTGACCATATATCACTGATATACTCCGTAGCAGCATGCCTTCAGCTTTGTAGCCAATGTGGGACCACCAGGTGAATCCCGAGGCGCCATTAAATATTTTTACAAAGCCATAGGGGGCAAAACTCACCCCGCAAATTAAAAAACCCCAGGAAGATTGTGCGTGCATGCAGTTACATGAGGGAAAGGGGTGGAGCAATGAACAGCAATTGCATGTGCAACCCAGAGAGGCATTTAATTCTTCCTGGTGCTGTTAAGCTGAAATGACAGGAGCTCAGAAGAGAAGACAGCCGAGAGGACAGTGGCAATGGAAGAACAAGAAATGAAGGGGGAGGGAAAGACCCTAGGGAGCAGAGGAGAGCTCAAAAGGAGAGGCAGCTTACGGGAAGGAAGCAGGAGGCATGATGGGAGCAGAGGTTCCTAGGTGGCAACAAGACCAGTAACAGCAGAGAGATGACAGAGAACAGGGAATGAGTGAGAGCTGTGAAATAGGAGGCAGGGAGTGAAAAAGTAGAGCCCTGAAATGGGAGTGACAGGCAGAGAGAGGAAAGAGAATAGGGCTGAGTAGGGTGCTAAATTGTTTAATTAATTCAGGCCACATTTTGTTTTGGATCTGATTTAGTAACATAAAACTGAATTTTCTTTTAAATATAACCTAAATGTGTCTCTTGTATTTATCATTGGGGTTTTGTGTGTGCGTGCGTGTGCGCAAAGTAGCTTTGCCAAATAGTTACTCATAAATTTCATGTACAAATATGCTTACTAGACTAGGGGAGAGTGAGAGTCTTTGAAATGAGTAAATTTCTGTGCTCTCTATACACTTGCAAGGGGACCTATCCCAAGTGCAGATGTAACACAGATGATCTCTTGATAGCGGTTGAGAGATCAGGAGCAGGGTTGCAGGCTCCCTTCTCCAGAACAAATTCTCCTCCCTCTTGTTCGCCTTCTAGACTGGAAGCATAATATTGTAAAATACTGTGTTTTGTCAGGTTAGAGCAAGGACGTTTGTTCACAGTTGAAATTTCTATAGTGGTGTTCTCTGCAGACATGTAAGGAAAGGGGAATTGCACATAGAGGAGCACAACCATCAATATATTAAAGGAAAGTTGCTGTCCTTCAAACATTGAACAGTTGAACAACTCTGCTTACTAAAAACCACATGTTTTATTAAATCCATTTACCTCTCCATTTACATGGAAGCTCCACTCCTTTTGAGAAAAACTGTTTCCAGGTCAAATAAAATGTACCGTATTTTTTGCTCTATAAGACTCACTTTTCCCCTCCTAAAAAGTAAGGGGAAATGTGTGTGCGTCTTATGGAGTGAATGCAGGCTGTGCAGCTATCACAGAAGCCAGAACAGCAAGAGGGATTGCTGCTTTCACTGTGCAGCGATCCCTCTTGCTGTTCTGGCATCTGAGATTCGGAATATTTTTTTTCTAGTTTTCCTCCTCCAAAAACTAGGTGCGTCTTGTGGTCTGGTGCGTCTTATAGAGCGAAAAATACGGTATTTCTTAGAATCATAGCCAAAGCCAGTATGAACTGGAATAAACCATAAACCTTTAAAGAAATAATTAAAACTGGATACTTGTTACTTTGAGAGCTTATTTGTGATTTTAGAGTATGTGGATGTGTGTGTAGCATTAGGCTGCATGTAGGAAAGTACTAAGGGATGCATATCAATTTCTTGAGGAGGATTGTGCCATGACTAGATTTTCTTTTGGATAAAAGAAATGGTTGGGACTATTGCTGAAGGGCACAATGCCTTTTGAAATACCCCCAGTAACTGCAAAGTAGGAGTTTACTGCTTAGCTTACATGTAAAATCTGAAGCAAGTGTGTTCTAGGTGTAAAATGCTGTTTCCCTGGGGCTAAAACAATATGCTTTTCAGTAGTGCTATTTTTCTAGAAAAAGAGGAGTCAGAACTCACCATGAATGCCTCCCTTGTTCTCTTATAATGGCGATGGCACCCACCTTGAGAGGTACTGGAATTGAGTTCCAGTGAGTTCCAGCTGAAAAAAAGCCCTGCTTCTCAGAACATATAAAATATACAGAAAGCTCTCTGAAAGCACTGAACATTGTCTATGTAGGAGATGGTCAGACTATTTTATAGTGTTTTCAGGTACTGTATATTTCAATATGGGTACAGTCCTCATTTTCATTCCTCCCTCCAAATTTCAAGTTTCATACTAGCTCTAAGGCAGTTGTATAAGGGTTCTATTTGAATGAACAATTACTTCTTAAAGAGAAACGAAAAAACGAAAAAATAAATAAAGAGAAACAAAATAAAAAAAGCTCATACCAATAACAAACTTAGTTGGTCTCTAAGGTGCTACTAGAAGGAATTTTTTTATTTTGTTTTGACTATGACAGACCAACATGGCTACCTACCTGTTCTTAAAGAGAGTAAAGTTTATATATAAAGAGTAACATGCTATTCTATGGATTGCAGAATATGGCCTTCTTGAATACTTGCAATTCACACAAAGTACTGAAGTAATCCAACACCTTCTAAACTTACAGATATCTGGAAAAACTTTCATTGCATAGTCAAATTTGACTGGACTTAACCGTCCGGGGTCCTTTACCTTTACCTACATTACTTGAATATATTTTTTATAAAGGGGAAGTAGAAATTAATTTCTTATCATTAATTTTGATTCTCCAGATAGGCTCCCTTTATGGCTCAATTCCCCAGGCTCTTCGCTTTTAATATTGATTTGTTAAAAATTAAATATGGAAAATAGCAAGATTTTTAGGTATGTGGTTTTTGTGATTTCATATTTTATATTAGAACTTAAACCATAAAAAGAATCCTTTTGACATAGCATCAGAAGGCACCTGTTACTTATGGATGAAATAAGTATTCGGAGATTGAAATGGAGCTTGTTTCCATAAATATTGTTGGAACATCTAAGGTTCTAGAATTTTCTGCTGAATTAAATCCTTAGCCTCTTCAGATTTAAGACTGTTTGCCTCTGTAGGATTTTAAGCTGAGCTAAATCCGAACAACATTTTGTAGCATATTTTAAGTACAGTATTCAAAGTAGCTGGCTCTTTCTTATACATGGACACAATAATTCTTACTAAGATGGGTGATGGGACTGAGAGAATAAGGGCTTGCCTAAAATCACATGGTAAATTTGTTACCAATGTTAGATTGAATTAGTGACCTCCTTTGTCTACAGTATTACTTGCGGAGTTAGCTAAAAAATTAAAATGAGAAATACATTCTGATTCACCTTAAAGAATGGGAAGTAATATTTTCTATATCACAACCACCACCCCAGGTTTGCTTCAGAGTATCTGCTCAACAGGAAGCCATAGCCAACTCTTCGTCTCCCCTGAGTATATGCGTATTACGTGTGTAGTTTTGAACACCTGTTTTTCACATTCACAGTTTACATTTTTAGGTGTGCACTTGAGGTGTCCACCCGAAAGAGTAATATACAAAGAGTCTGTTGCAGAGGAGAGAGGAAGCTCTTTGAAACCTGTTTCTAGTTTCCTTACAGTTAAAAGGTAAAGGTAAATGGACCCCTGACCATTAGGTCCAGTCGTGACCGACTCTGGGGTTGCAGCGCTCATCTCGCTTTATTGGCCAAGGGAGCCGGTGTACAGCTTCCGGGTCATGTGGCCAGCATGACTAAGCCGCTTCTGGAGAACCAGAGCAGCGCACGGAAACGCCATTTACCTTCCCGCTGGAGCGGTACCTATTTATCTACTTGCACTTTGACGTGCTTTCAAACTGCTAGGTTGGCAGGAGCAGGGACCGAGCAACGGGAGCTCACCCCGTCACGGGGATTCGAACCGCCTACCTTCTGATTGGCAAGTCCTAGGCTCTGTGGTTTAACCCACAGCGACTCCCGCGTCCCTTACAGTTAAGACTTCCTAAATAAACTGAATATTTAAGCTCAGGACAATGGGATGTATTTTCCTCCCTTTTCCCCAAAAATCAACCCATTTCGTCTTTTGAGTGATAATATTTTATTATAAACTTTAGTTAAGACATGATGAAAATAAATGCAAGATGCCAAGGTTTTCCCCCTTGAGATTCATCTTCACAACTTATTCAGTCATGTTTGCTTTATTTTCTTTTATTTTCATAGTTAGATATATTGTCTCAAATTGAGCATGTACTTAGAACGAGCTGGGCTGAGTAGTTAGCAGAGGGTGAAGAAATATTGACCCGTGTATTGCCTCAGATTCGAATCAGAACTTTTTTAAACTCTGGGAAATGTAGAACAATCAGCAAAAGCTGATTGTGGTGCCCTGCAGACATTGTTGGACTCCCAGCTCCATTTTCCATTGACAACTAAATCAGTGTTTCCCAACCGGTGTTCGGCGGCACACCAGTGTGCCGTGAGACCTTGCCTGGTGTGCCGTGGGAGGGAGGCGGGAGAGGCGGGGCGGCGGCGGCATCTCCTGCTGGATGCAAATCCAAACATGGCGGGCGCCTCCCTCGCTCCTTTGTAGGCGGACCATCGAGAGAGAAAGAAAAGGAGGCGGAAGAGCGAGAGAAGGCGCCTGCGCGGAAAGAGGAGCGAGCAGTGCACCTGCGCGCCGCGGCGCCCGAGATCGCTTCTCCCCACCGCCCCTTGCTTCAAAAGAGGTCCGGGGGCAGCGGGGAAGAAGCGCTGCGCTTCGCGCTGCCCCCGGACCTCTTTTGAAGCAAGGGTTTGTGGGGAGAAGCGATCTCCCCGCAGCCCCTTGCTTCAAAAGAGGTCCGGGGGCAGCGGGAAGCGCAGCGCTTCTTCCCCGCTGCCCCCGGACCTCTTTTGAAGCAAGGGGCTGCGGGGAGATCGCTTCTCCCGGTGCTCCGAAGCGGGGCGGGGGGGCGGGAACACCTGCCCCAGCCGCCCCGCTTCGGAACGCTGCTCCGAAGCGGGGCGGGGGGCGGGAACACCTGCCCCAGCCGCCCGGCATCGGAACGATGCCCCGATGCCGGGCGGTGGGGCGGGAACCTCGCACCCCGCCGCCGGGCATCGGAACGAGGTCCTGGACCTCTTCTGAAGGCAGGCGGGGGCAAAAGTCTTTGCTCCCCCCGCCTGCCTTCCCGGGACAGCGGAGACTTCTCCGCTGCCCCGGGCGATCTTAAAATGCTGGCGGGTGGGAGCGAAGCGTTCGCTGCCGACCCCCAGCATTTTAAAATCTCCTCGGGGCAGCGGAGACTTCGCTCCCGCCCGCCAGCATTTTAAAATCGCCCCGGGACAGCAGGGGCTTTTAAAATGCTGGCGGTCGGCAGCAAAGCCCTCCTGTCCCTGGAGCTTGCGGGGCGGGAGGTGGGAAGAAGGGCTTTTCTTCCCACCGCCAGCCTTCAGAACAGCCTTCTGAAGGCTGGCAGTGGGAAGAAAAGCCCTTGTCCCCCCCCCCCCCGCCTTCAGAAGAGGTCGGGGGACAGACTGTCCCCGGACCTGGTCTGAAGGCGGTTTCCCTAGGAATGCATTAATTGATTTTCAATGCATTCCTATGGGAAACCGTGCATCGCAAGACGAAAAACTCGCAAGACGAAGAGACTTGCGGAACGAATTAATTTCGTCTTGCGAGGCACCACTGTACTTTTTATATAGTCAATATAGGCACAGAGTTAAATTTTTTAACATTTTCTAATGGTGGTGTGCCTCGAGATTTTTTTCATGAAACAAGTGTGCCTTTGCCCAAAAAAGGTTGGGAAACACTGACCTAAATAGTATCATATTCTTCTGTCATGTAGAAGAATAAATGCAGACCAGGATTGTAAGAGCTACTTCAAGCGTCCTCAAAGCTTTCACTAGTCCAGTGGAATTTCATGCTTTTCTTCTTATGTCCCAGCCCCACTCCACAGAACTGGATATGGCACATAACTTTATCTGCATTAGGCATGTTCAGATTTTCATAGGAATACTGGGGTAGTGTGCTGTATGACTTCAGTTTTCTGGTAAGATAGTCTTCAGAAAATAACTCAAATTTTAGGGTGCTTGGTTTATAGTTGACTTGCTTTTGTGCCTCCTTTTCGATTGATCTAAAAGGCATTATAGCACCTCTTACAAGTTTAAACTATCTCTTAATGGCTCCTGAATTCATTATTGTACATAATTACGTTTGGTTGTTGGAAAGCAGTGACTGGATAAAGTTTGGCATATCCTAGTTATGGGAAAATGTCAGTTCAGCTAAGAGTATGCAGGAATCATGCTGATAGATTTTTGTTGTTGTTTTTAATCTGGAGTTTCCTTCATTTTGTTAAGGGTCCAAGTAAGATCAATTATGTTCAGAGTTAACCTTCAGTGGTTTACTTGTATTAAGTTAGATCTGGTGTTCTGTATATATAATGTATTTTGAATTGCCCTGGGGCAGGCTGTGAGATTGTTAGCTTCTTATGTATTTTCTGAAAAAATATTATTTAAAACTACAAAAAGGGTTACCAAGTTAGTGCCCATGGGTGCCAGTGTGCATAATTATTGCCTCCTATGGCACTTGTGATTGATCTCAGTAAATACGCATCTAAAGCGACAGTGCACGAAAGACAGCTTGCTTGTCCTGCTTAGCTCTTATTTGCACTGGTTCGAGCTCTTTTACATGGAGTATGCCCCCTTACACATGCTCGCATTTCATTGGATGCTAGGATTGGATACCTAGCCTCCCTCCCGTGTGTTCTGAACAGAGGAGAGGTATAACAAGATTTTCTCTGTGAGTGAATGTGGCGGGGGCTGATGGAGGTGCCTTTCCAGCCCATTGATGGGGTGGTTGATGTGGGGGCATGACTGTACCATTTGTGTAGTCCTGTCTCCTTTGCTGCTCTTTTAGATGTTGCAGCCGTTTTATGTTATGCCACCCCTCTCCCTCAATGGCCATCTTGTGGCTGGTGGCCACGGCACTTTCTCAAAATTCCAAGTGTTCCCAATGGCCCAAAAAGGTTGGCGACCATAAAAATGCAAGTTGTTTGCCGTAGAATGACATGTACATCTCAGCCTAATCAAGCATTTGGTCTCATGAAAGTGAATTGCTAACATACACTGGAAGACATAAGGAAACTTTTAGGCAAACTTTTTATTTTATTTCCTTTAGGTAAGGGGTGATTTTACAGGGCAGGGGACTTCCTTAGATTAGCTTTTTGTGTGGTTCCCGAACAACAGTTAAACTTGTTTTAAAGGGTTAGGCAAGCCTTCTTCATACTGGATAGCTTTAATGGCAATTTATTTAGGGTTGGACATTATTGTATAGCATATCACATGGCAGGAGCTGCGTGAAGACAGGAAACATGATGGCAAAGCACAACTGTATTATAAAACTGCAGATCTCAAACCTGTAAATTGTATTTTAAAAAAGGATGTAGAAGCAGTTATATTTTCTGTCTGTATTGTATAGGTCACCCGAAAGGCCTACAGGGGATCTTCGGGAAAGAATGAAGAATAAGCGTCAAGAAATTGAAGCTGAACCACAGAAGCATAATACAGAAGAGCAATCTTCTCCTGTCAGGGTGAGCGTGGGATGTTCATGTATCTCCTTGCTTTCTTCAGTTGTTTTGGGATGCAGGATTTCCTGATGTGGAACGAATCCGAGCACTGTGTTGCACTTAACCCCAGTTACCTAAGATGTGTTTAGAATTCCCTGGTCAGGATCCATTGACCCTAACAACTAGTTCTGTATTCCCAAGCAGGGTTGTGTTTGTGTTCTCAAACACCACCACCACATCACACTGTCCCTGCCTGGCCCATGCCGAAAACAAACCCCTTTTGACATAGGGCAAAGCAGTTTATGACATAACATGAGATTTTCGTGTTCATAGGGAAAAATTCACTGAGCAAGTCCAAGCCATTGGGTGCACCAGAGGTAGGACTTCTTAAATGTGGTTGTTGTTTTTTTATTATCTTGGCCTTAACTTCTCAATGTAGATTATGGATTGGGCCCACACATACATGAGCGGAAGTGTGTGCATATAACAGGGATTTTTCCACCTCTCTTCTCCACTGAGCTTGCCTCCTGTGACAACCAATCGTCTCCTGAGGGTTGGAAGTTCACTTGCATAAGATGCCTGGACCCAATTTCTGCCAGTTTTGTGTGTGCTTTTCCAAGCAATTCCCCAAACCACAGGACAGTTTTTTTTAGCTCCACTGGAGGAAGGTCTGAGAAAGCCTCGTGCAAGGGAACATTTGCACAACAGTGGTGAAAACTCACCTTAAGATTTTCACCTCTGCCCAATTGAAAAAGATGGTATGTTTAATATTAAATTAAAACCTAGACAAAATTGCTTCAGCATATATACAAGTTAAACTCATTAGAGTTTCAATAGAACACAGTCTTCAATTTTCTGTGGTATTTACTACTAGAAGAAAGTCATGGTAGTTTATTTGAGAAAGGTTCCTCTGTGCTAAATTGGATATAAACCAGAACAAAAATCCATTTTTTTTCTTTCTTTGTACAAAAATTGAGAACTGAGATATTTATGCAATCTGTACAGACATAGATTTCTGGGACCTGGAATCTTTACTTGGTGTGACAACGTTGGTAGCTGAAAGCTCTAGTTAGAATGTGCATTGCTTAAGAGAGATATGAAGCTTCTGTTGCTTTTCAGATTCTCTAAGAAACCAGTCTTCTAATGGCTCCTTAAGGTGTCTTTTTACAGCCTTAATTATTTTAATGAAATGAGTTCTCCAAAGCGTTAACTTAATCCCCCCAAATATTGGATTGTATCCAGTGAAGTCATCCCATTAAAACACAAGGACTGTACAATGAGACTTCCTCTCCCTGACTTTCCCACCGCAAATGAGCTCTACACTGTTGAGGGAACTCCCGGAACAGATTGTGGGGGAAGAAGAAGAAGTTATGTGGCAGAGGTGGAAATCCTTGCACTAGTTGGACAACTTCATTGGACGCTACCCTAAGACTTCAGTGGTTCAGAATGTAAATACTTTTCAGGATCCTAAAATATGGTTGACCAAGGGAAAATAATGTAAAATGCTCCACATCACTGTCAAATGCTCATGAATGTCTAAAATGCTCATGGAGGTCACATTTCCAAGTCTGGTGAGAGACTCTAGGACTCCCAAGTGCTTTTTAGTATGTCCCCTAATTTCACATCAGATTTTGTCTGACAAAATTTGCCTGTCAAGACCCCCAAACCCATAACAATAACCAGCTTTTCTTTTTAAAAGAAATGGCTGAAATAAGTAACAACACTTGATTGGATTGTTTATAGAAGTTCTAAATTGAAGCAGTGTGGGGAAATCTTGCATTTTGGATGGAATAACTGGCCGATTCGGAAGGAAAACTTCATTTTCAGGTTCCACGTGTGAGTGGTTTGTTTATATCATTACTTGTATATGTTAAAAATGCTTGGAAGCTGACTAACCCATGAGGGTATTGAAATTATTAGTTCTCTGACAATTGGTCCAAACATAAACCAAGGCACCCTGGTTAGTTACTAGGCTGAAAAAGGGACATTTTAAAATCTGATTGTCGACCCATGACCATGCATGGCAAATCCTGAGCAGTTTTAGTGTTTATGAATATTGCTTGACATCACAGTAATAATAATAATAATAATAATATAATAATAATAATAATAATAATAATAATAATAATAATAATAATAATAATAATATAAATAAATAAATTTATATCCCGCCCTCCCCAGCCGAAGCTGGGCTCAGGGCGGCTGACAACAATCAAGATAATCCAACATTCTAAAAACATTCATTATAAAATTAATTAAAATCAAATTGATGGCAACCATTAAGCAAGATTCTGTGCAGAAATAATAATAAATTTTATTTATACTGATCAACCAATAAGCTAGAGGCAGTATATGATTATATGGCTTTCAGCCTACTCGTTCTCCCTAACCAACCTGCGAAATTTCATAGCCATGCAGAAACTTGTTGGGGTGTGTGTGTGTTAGTGGGCAACATTCCCCGCCCCTGATTTCCCCCATTCAACACCCCAGTTTCTGGCCCTGTCACATTCAGAGCCAAACCCTGGATCCTGAAGACCCAGGCTTTTTAAGGTGGCGACTGTTGTAGAAAGTGCAAAGAGACAAGCCTCCTAGTCCAGTTTGCTACAGTAATGAATGCAGCATGCTTGAGGGGACAGGTAAGGGAATCTCTTACCTGTACCTTCCTGCCAAGGAGCTGAGCACAGTTTTTGCGTTTGGGGAGGTTAAAGATTCAGAAATGCATCTTCTCCTTCCGCTTGGTTGCAGGGGAGTGATTACCACCACTTGTTTGATATGGAAGAAAGGAATATATCACCCCACCTTGCTTCTTGTTTATACAATTAAAATATACTCGGGAGTATTTTTGGGTCCCTGAAGCCAATGCTTTCCCCCTGATTAACATTGTGGTCTTTTGCATACTTGCACCAGTCTTATAGGGTAGTTGTTTAAAACTTAGCATTTGCCAGGGAACGATCCATCTATGCTGATGTATTAATTTGTTCTGCTGAAGTATCTAGCATTTGTTTTATGAATGTAATCTTACTGCCGATTCTGTGCTGTTCATCACATTTTTCCAAACGTGGCCTTTGTTAAATAAATTAGCAAGCAAACATAGGCCTGAAAAGTAAATAGCATTTACCTGGTGAGTGTGTAAATGCAAAATGGAGCCTCCAGTTGTTTTAGAAATTAAGGGTTGGAAATGAAGATACAGCTGTCCTCTTAACTTCCTCGGGCCCTTTCCTGCACAGCTTCTATATGCCCACAAGGGCTTAATGGTGTGGATATAAGATCTCTACATCTGGCACCCTCTTTGCAGGGCTGCCTTAGTGATTCAGCTCACCCCTGCTTTCTACCTATCCAGAAGCTACTCCTCTCTGTTTTCAGGCCTGTATTTTGTCTCCCACCCACACAAGTCCTACTGGAAATTAAGCTCTAACATTTCCAGACATCTGGCTGACTAACTTGCACCCTTCTGACTAGTGAGCTTTTCTTACAGCTGGTTCGGTAGCTCGCTGGTTTCAGGGTGTGTGTGAGGGGAGGGAAGCCCAGTTTACACTAGAGGAGGTCCTTTTGTGGGCTTCCACTTGCACGGCTGGTTAGTTGGATCCCACCCATATTTTAATATCCTGATTTGTGAATAAACTGACATTTGAACCAAGCAGTTTCCTGAATTTGGACGCTAAAGAAACTCTTCATTCAGAACCAATATTAACATCCTTGTTTTATTTCCTGATTGTTCAATCCCCAAGCTTTTAGAATTCTAATCATTATATCTGAACTAAGCCTTTCTCTTTTTTGAGTTCTTGTTGTAAGTATTCCTTGACACACATGGCATACTAGAAGGAAGAGTATGTTCTATAAGTCTGAGTTTTCAACCTGTTCTTTTTTTAATATCTGGAACTTGGAAAAAGCAAACCCTTCTTGAATGTTTTCATAAAAAAGCAATTAGAGTCATGAAGTAGGGGTGTGTGGCAGAAACACCCCAGCCCCCCTGCTAAATGTGCCTGCTTCCAACTATTGTTTTTAAAAATCAACTGACTTACTATTTATTTATTTGAATTTCTATACCACCTTTTATCCAAGGATCACAGGGCAGTTTATAATATAAAAACACAAAAATACATTACGTAGTAAGAAACAAAACAACAGACACCCACAGTTCTAAAGGCCTGTTTTGTTTGAATTTGCCTGTTTTGTTTTCCTCTGTAGAAAGAGTCCTCCAGGGGGAGGCACAGGGGGAAGGAAGATATTAAAATTACCAAGGAGAGAACTCCAGAAAGTGAAGAAGAAAATCCCGACTGGGAAACAAACAGAGACGGTAGGTGCCATGACCTACTAGATTCATGGAGCCAAAATAAAAAAATGGACTGAGAGAACTGCAAAGGAGTGAACTTGAATTCTTAATAAATCTATCTCCTGAAATAAAATTATTTTTAGTAGCTTTCGAATCCTGAGTAGTTTTTAAATAAGAAAGTAGACTGGACAAGATTGGATACAGGGTATGCAAGAAAAGTGTATTGGTTTGTCTAGTTTTAAAATCTCTCTTTTCAAAATACATTTTAAAATATGTACTGTGGAAGCATTACATAACAGTCCAGATGGAGAGCAAAAAAATCACTGTTGAATGGAGAGAGAAATGAATGTAACAAAAAGGCTTTCAGAACGATTAGACCATGTATTATATAAAGGAACATTTAATAATAGTCGAACGGTCCCTTTAGCACAGGAAAAAGCAGTTCTGATGGAGTGGAGAAGTATTGGTGATGGCACATTTTTCTGCCCACCTTTTCCCCTGTCTAAATCTCCTTGTGTTAGACTAAGACAAGTGTTGTTCATAGGATAAAAGTGAGATGAATAACCAATTATGCCACCCGGAACTCTTTGGGGAAAGCATTATTTAAAAATAGGTAATTTAAAGAATTACCTTTCAGGGTAACATAGTTTAGGCCGCTGACATCACTGAATAATTTCAGTTCTAAAAATGAGTGTCTTCCTGATTCCCAGTAATGTTACATTGGTCACCCTGAATCCTAATATCGTTATCCATTAAATCAGTGTTCCTCAACTTGGTTCCCCGGTTGATGTTGGACTATATCTCCCACCATCCCTAGTTAGCAGGACCAGTAGTGAGGGATGTTGTGGTCTGACAACAGCCGGGGACCCAAGATTGCATCAAATTATAGTCATCCTATAGTTGACATGTTTTTAATATAGAGAATGTCAAGGATACCATTTCACTGACTTCTTTTGTTTGCTTTAATAAATTAAGATTCTGATAACGGAGACGTTAACTACGATTATGACCACGAGCTTTCTTTGGAAATGAAGCGTCAGAAGATCCAGAGAGAGTTAATGAAGCTTGAAGAAGAAAACATGGAGAAAAGGGAGGAGATAGTGATTAAAAAGGAGGTTTGTATCTCAAAAATAAAACACCAAACAGCCAATAAAAGTTTAAGAATTAAGATTTGAACAAGCCTTCCGGATAATAGTAATTAGTGACGCATATGTTGGTGATAATGGCATACACTGTGTGCTACGTGCTCTTGAGCTTCCTTTTAGCTCCACAAATAAATGTGGTATCACAACAATTTGTTTTTATTTATTTCATAAAATTTATAAACCACTTGAATGTAAAGAAAAAAGTCAAAGCAGTTTGCAAAAAAACAATAAAATTATCACTAAGTTATAATAATAGTATAAGACATTTGAAAAGCTAGAATAATAGACTAAAAACAGATTAAGGCTCATATCAACTTTCTAAACACCAGGGTAGACATGTCAAAAAAATATTTTTAGCAGGCACCGAATAGGAGCAGGTTTTGTGGGCACCTGTAATAGTTCTGCCAATCAAAGTGGTTGAGTGAGCCCATACGGGGTAAGGCAGTTTTCGTAAATAAAACCAAGTTGTTCAGGGCTTTATCTACTAATAAGGACCCTGACCATTGGATCCAGTTGTGACCGACTCTGGGGTTGTGGCGCTCATCTCGTTTTATTGGCCGAGGGAGTCGGCATACAGCTTCCGGGTCATGTGGCCAGCATGACTATGCCACTTCTGGCGAACCAGAGCAGCGCACGGAAGTGCCATTTACCTTCCTGCCAGAGCGGTACCTATTTATCTACTTGCACTTTGACGTGCTTTCAAACTGCTAGGTTGGCAGGAGCAGGGACCGAGCAACGGGAGCTCACCCCGTCTCGGGGAATCGAACCGCCGACCTTCCGATCGGCAAGTCCTAGGCTCTGTGGTTTAACCCACAGCGCCACCCACGTCCCTTATCTACTAATAGTAACACCTTGAATTTGGCCTGGTAGCAAATTAGCAACCAGTGCACACCTCTTTATCCTTTTTGTCATTTTGTACTTCATTTTATTATCGTAGTTTTAAATTGTTTTTAATATTGTGCTTTAATGCTGTAACCCACCCTTAGTTCTTAGACTGAAGGGTGGGTAATTGATAATTGATACTAATAATAATTTTGAATGATTTCCGTGATCTCAACCTTCAGCGATACTTTGATAAATGTCTTCACAACATGCGTGTATATCCCAATCAACTTGTCTTTGTATCTGTGCTTACGTAGCCAAAACCACAGCACTTGTGAGCCAGAGAGCAAGTATCAGAGTTGGAGTAACCCTGAGACAGAAGTACAAAAGAATATTTAGGGGAAGGAACTCGAAAGGGGTGGGGGCACAAAACAACGGCATGTTGTTGAGAGACTGAGGGGGTGCAGGAAACTAGAAGGGACAGGAATTAGAAGGCAGACTTGGAAGACAGAAACAGTTACGTATACATAAAGAACCACCTCTCTGCCTGGGTACATCACTTCTAGTTCACACTGAGAAGCTGTTTTTAAATGTCCATAGGGATGAAGGCGAGAAATGCCCAGAGATATCTGTGGAGACAATGATCATTTAATACAGCTGGGATTGAGCACAGATGTGGCTTTTCCTCCTCAAAATAAAAAGGGTGGGAGGCAAGTGAAGAAAAGTTGAAGAAAACTGGCAAATGGTGAATGAGATACTTAATGAACATGGAATACTGACTGATTTTTTGATGGGGCAGTGGGGAATGAATGAAATTGTGTGGCTGGAGCCGCAAGCACTCCGCACTGGAACATGAGTGAAATGAAGTGCAGTCAGACACACAGAGCTCTCTTTGTTAAACCAGTAGTTGGGGGTGATCTAGATTAGCAATGGGGAACCTGTGGCTCTTGATGTTGGATTTCAAGAAACATCAGCGCTAGCCAGCTTGGTTGGTGGTCAGGGATGATGGGGGTTAAAGTCAGCAATATCTAGAATACCACAAGTTGCCCAGCCCTGCTTTGTGGACCCAGTAAAGTTTATGAAGTGCCTGTAGCCCAAACCAACACCCACCCATAAACAAGAGGGAGGTATTTGCAGATTAAACCCCAAAGTTTGCTGAACACAGCCTGACTGGAAGAGGAAAGAAAGAAATGGAGCAGAAAATCTGAACAGAAACATTCCACATTGCGGCTTTTTGTCGCTGGACTCGTAGCAATGTAAAGCAAATTGGGGCATTAACAAATTTATTGTTTCCCTTTGTTAAGATTTCTCCAGAGGCTGTTGGGTCAAAATTATCCTCACCTTCACCCAGAAAATCTAGCAAATCTCCAAAACTGCGATCAAGCCCCAAATCTTCCTCCTCAACCGCTAAGAGGGAGAAAAAGACTTCTGCAGTTTCTTCACCCCTCTTGGACCAACAGAGGTTAGTATATATGCATGTTTGGTAAAAGAAAATGTGTGTTATTCCTTGAGTGGTGGTGTGGCCTAAAATTTGTTGAAGGGGATGGATGGTGCTGGTTGTTCATCTTAGCCAGAGCTCCCTGAGTATTAGAGAGCGAAAATGCTTTGCGTTTTTTTCTACAATCAAGTGGTAGATAATTTTTATGACATGAATAAATAACATTTATGTAATCTGAAATTTGTGAAGCTTCAAATAACATCTGCAGTAATAAATACCTCGAATTGTTGTAAATGTTGTGGATAGAATGGGATGACCTTTTGCTGACATAACATGCAAGCATAGTTCGTTATTATTATTATTATTCCTAGGCATCTCAGCCATAATTCAGATTGACTGCAAACCAAGCTACAGAACCCTGCTTTGCAGTGTGTTCGCAAAGTGTGATTTCATTGTCTGCACCAACCAAAGCATGCTTAAAGCAGCTGTGCCACCTCTATCCTTTCTGCTTGCAAGGTGGCAAACAAGTCTCCCTGCAGAATCTCAATGGGTTAAGATTTCTCTCAGCAGTTTAAATGATTGTTTCACTGTTCTTAACCAAGGATGAAGTAACAAAAGCAAGTTTCATGTCAACTGTTGTTTAAACAGTTCATGAGAAATAAATGTAAAATTATTTGTAAAAATAAAATAATTTTCTCAAAGGAAAGAAATGTTGGAAATTAAAATCAAAACATTAGAGATGACATGGGATAATTATGTAATCTAATGGATTGATGTTTGTGTATTTTAATCTTCTTTATGATCTTTTTGAACAATGATGAAATGTAAATAATCAACTCTTGGGTTGGGGCAACTGTCTAAAATGTTTTCAAATGTTTTCAATGGTTCTAATTTTGGTTCCTGTTTTGTTTTTGTTGGGTTGGTATTGGTTAAACGTTTAGTTGGGGTAGGTGATTATTTTAATTGAGTATAACTGTAAACTTTATTATTTTTTGTTATCATTATTGAATTCTGTTGATTTATTGGTTTCTGTTGGTTTGTTTGATGGTTGTATAGGATATTTTGGTTTTTTTAAAAAGTTTGATGTTTTGTTGTGTTTTTATATGTGTTGTAAGCTGCTCAGAGTGGCTGGGGAAACCCAGCCAGATGGGCGGGATATAAAAATTATTATTATTATTATTATTATTATTATTATTATTATTATTATTATATCAAATCTGGTATACTTTCTGTTTCTGTTCTTTGGAATAATACTTTGTTACTCTGTACAGTCGTTCCTCTGCTTACGTATCCCTCTGGATACGTAAACTTCGGAATGCAAACGCTGCAAACCCAGAAGTATTTTTCCAGGTTTTGCCGTGTGCGCAAAAGCGCTTTATGCGCCGCGTGCATGCGCAGAAGCAGTCCTTCGGTTGCAGATTCCTTGGGATGCAGCAGGATCTCTGGAACGGATCCCGTTCCACTGTACTTGATTCTGTTCCAATTTGAATATGTACCTTCAGTAAAGGAACAATCACCCAATATCAGTTTACATTATTAGGGGACCCAATGACATTTTTGCTCAATTTTTAGCTGCAATACCAGTGCAGCTCTGTGCAACTGTAGCAACCTCTTGGTGGCCCTGGACAAGCTTTTGTGTGCTCAGATTCACCAGATGGATTAGCCTCAATCATGTGTAGCAAGTTGATGCTGAGAAACAGCTCTTGCTGTAGAACAACCATCATGCAGAGCTGGTTGCATGAGGCTTCTGCATGGCAACCACATTGTGAGCAGCAGTCCTCCCTTTCAATGGCTGCAGCAGACTTGGAGTGAGAATACATTGTGGTGGTGGTGGTAGTTGCTTTGAAACTTTAGGTAACTTTCCCCCAGCTTTTGGAGTGCAGCTCTAGTTCAGGTAACATTTTGTGATTCAAGGCACACCGATTAAGCCTTCCAACACTTGTTTTCTCAACCTGTTTTAGGAGTTCGAAAACTAACCACAGTAAAAAGAAAGGTCCTCGTACGCCTAGTCCTCCACCGCCAATACAAGAAGACACGGCACAAGGAAAGAAACATAAGGAGAAACACAAAGCGAAAGAGCGGTTAGAAGAGAACCCAAGGGAGGTGAAAGAGAGAGGCCGTGACTTTGAAAGACACAATAAAGAGAAAAAAGAGAAACAAAGGTATTTTTAATGTTTGTGTATAGTTGTTTGTCTAATTTTGCTACATCTGTAATTCGTAGACTACTAAACACTCAAGGGCTTATGTCCAGCTTGCCACCACTTAAGGCTTTTGATTTGTCGTCTGTTTACCTTTCGCTGATCACATGATACACTACAAGTTTTGGAACTTACTTGTTGCGATCTGAAAGTGAGCAAACGATACCTGAAATCCAGAAATGGAAGGCAGTCTTCAGCAGGGCCCACCTTAGCTAAGTGATGACCATTTGCAGCACATATGGCATCTCTTCCTGGTTCCCTTCTTTATTTACAGTTGGATGGGAATTGAGCTTCACTTGGCTTGTTCATAGTCTCCCATGGCTGCCAAGCTTCGAGAGAGCAGCAAAAATACCAGACCTCGGTCTCGTAAGCTAGGATACCACTGTACTGATGACACTAAACCTTGGGTGGTCCACAGTCCACAGGTGGTTGACATAGTGGAACTTGGAGGACCTCAGAGGGAGAACATTTTCAGGAGGTTGCCAGCAGCTACTTAGTGCTGCCATCCCCCAAACAGGATAGCAACTCCATAGATACCTGCCAGGACTAACAGCTCTCACCAGTGCATTATCAAAGGACTGCAGAAAGCTCTGAGAAGGGTGCAAGTTCATCTCTAGCCAAAGACATGCTGACCAAAGCCGCAAGCAGTCTCCATGTTGTTGTTGTTGTTGATGATGATGATGTTGTTTAGTCATTTAGTCGTGTCCGACTCCTTGTGACGCCATGGACCAGAGCACGCCAGGCACTCCTGTCTTCCACTGCCTCCCGCAGTTTGGTCAAACTCATTTTAGTAGCTTCGAGAACACTGTCCAGCCATCTCGTCCTCTGCCATCCCCTTCTCCTTGTGCCCTCCATCTTTCCCAACATCAGGGTCTTTTCCAGGGAGTCTTCTCTTCTCATGAGGTGGCCAAAGTATTGGAGCCTCAGCTTCACGATCTGTCCTTCCAGTGAGCACTCAGGGCTGATTTCCTTCAGAATGGAGAGGTTTGATCTTCTTGCAGTCCATGGGACTCTCAAGAGTCTCCTCCAGCACCAGAATTCAAAAGCATCAATTCTTCGGCGATCAGCCTTCTTGATGGTCCAGCTTTCACTTCCATACATCACTACTGGGAAAACCATAGCTTTAACTATACAGACCTTTGTTGGCAAGGTGATGTCAAAGTGATGTTGTTGATACCATGTACCTATTGCTGTTTGTATATTCCTCAGAGATCCCTCAGAAAGTTCTCATAGACAGAGACGTTCGCCTAGTCCAGAAGAACAGTCTGGTAGTAATTCTTCTCCTTCAAGAGAATATTCTCCTACTACAAGGAGAAGGCAAACATCTTGGGCTCCAGCTAAATCCAGCAGCCATAAACATTCCATTTCGCCATCTTGCAGGTAGAATAATTACTTAAATCTTATATTGAAATACCAAACTTGTGTAGCCCAAGATAATTACTGAAAATGGGACACTTTTACATCTACTAAACCTGGGACATGTTTACCTTTTACTGACCAAGCCACCAAACAGATTGGAATCCTGGGGCTCAGGTGTTCCACCGCTTTTTCACATATTTGATTTAAGTTTCAACCGGGGGATTGTGGGGAAATCCTGTGGCAACTAGGGAGATACATCTCTGCTTGCAGAGTGGTAGCTTTGCATAATAATGTGTGAAGGTGCTTAGGATTGACTCACTCTTGATTATTGATATTAAAATTGATACCTATACACTGTCTAGAAACCTGAAATCTAGAAAAATTTCAACCTTGGTTAACAGTCTAGAAATAACACACATATATATCTTCATATGTGGGATGTTAAATGTACAACAAATTGGTGGTCACACACAATGTGTGGTACATTTGATACTCAAATGGCCCAAGACACCCCAATTTGCAGAAAAGCCTGAAAAATTTTTTGCTACAACATGGGGTGTGGAAGGTCCTCTGTCCGCCTTCCCCCAATAGCTAGTTAGGTGCTTTCCATGTTAGCTACAGTATTGGCTGGTGTGATTTGATACACACATGCTCAGTTTTGTTGCCAAAGGTATGCAAGTTCTGGCTCTGTGAACTCCCCAGGTGGTAAAACCATTTAGGATCTATACATAAGTTGTTTAGAGCTCTTGTGAGAAAAAGCCATGGGATTAGTACAATAGCTTGAGACTAGTCAAACGCTTCTAAAAAGGTCTGAAAATGGAGCGTCATCTCACCCGCTTAGACATGAACTGTACTCCATAATTGTTATATTAACTCCATTCCAGGTAGAAGTCTGCAATTTGTTTCTCATGTAGGCTCATTGCTAGACAGAATTAAAAATACAGTGGTACCTCGGTTGTCGAATGTAATCCGTTCCGGAAGACCGTTCGACTTCCGAAACGTTCAGCAATGGAGGCTCAATGGACAGTCCTCAGAATCCATTGAGAAAATGGAGAAACACGCCTCGGAAGCTGTTTGACTTCCGAGGCGCGTTCAAAAACGGAAGCAATTACTTCCGGGTTGGCGGTGTTCGAAAGCTGAAACATTCGGCTTCTGAGACGCTCGAAAACTGAGGTTCCACTGCAGTCCCTATCTGGAACAGAGAATGCAAGCTGTCTGAATGCATCAGCTACGATTTTAGCAAGAAGCTAGCAGCTTAAATATGCCCTAGGTCTCTGCATTATTGGTCATGTTACTCAGGATCAAAGTAGAACATCACATCTGAAATCATATGGTTACATACTATGGTTGTCTTTGGATCTCACATTGATGTTATTATATATTGCATAAAACGATTGTCAGAAAATTACTTGCCTTTCTGAGTCCACAACATTATCATTTTGGTCACAGTGTAAGCTAATTGCAAATTGATGGGCAGCATTGTTATGAAATTATCTGTAAATATTCTTTCGTGATCAGAGAAAAATATTTTGTAAATTTAGGCTAGTTGTATTGGATTCATTTTCATCAGTTGAAAAGGTGTTGTATAAGGCTCAGGATGTTCATTCCACAGTTTTCCCCTCCGATTTCTGTGTCTGCAGGTCTGCCTCACCACCAACTCAGCACCATTCTCCCGTGTCCTCAAGACATCACTCTTCCTCATCTCAGTCAGGTTCTTCCATTCAGAGACGTTCTCCTTCGCCACGTCACAAAAGAACTCCTTCTCCCTCTTACAAAAGGACCGCTTCCCCACCTGTAGGCCGTTCCTCGTCTCCTTATCCTCACCGAACCTCACCTTCTCAGCAAAAGCAGACACCTTCAAGGCATCGTTCACCAGTGCGGGAGAGAAGCCGGCATGATCGTGAACGGATTTCACAGTCGCATGATCGTGAACGGATTTCACAGTCACATGATCGACGCCACGAAAGGAGGGATGGTATGAATAGGGATAAGAATAAAAGCAAACTTTTTATTTGTAATCTGTAAGAACAGTTTTTTAAAGTTACAAGAGGCCAGGCATTATTTCTCCCAAGAGTTGTTAAACTCAAATATCGAATTGCTGGCTGCTGTCTTAACTACAAAAGACATCATTACTAGCATCATCAAGCTTATTGAGAAAAGTTAATAGGGTTGTTGATCTAACTCATGTCCTGGGAGTTAATAATAAACCATTAGTAAATCTTTTAGAATAAAAGAGCTTGCTGGGGAAGAAAATGAATATGCTGCTGCAAAGAGAAGTTACTGCTCATCACCTTTCTAGAATTATTTGAGGGTGTTAACAACCGTGTGATCAGTGAACATTGTATACCCTGATTTTTCAAAGGCCCTTGGCAACTCTTGTCTCTGTGCAAAAACTCCTGTGGAAATTCAGTAGGAATGCCATAAATGGAAAGCACTTTTTTATTATTGATAACTGGTTAAAGATAGGAGGCTGATGGGTCTAAATTAGTCACATTGGTGAAAGCCTGAGCAGATTCAGAATGACTTCTCTGAAGTGGCACAAGAGTAGAATGGCAGAAGAGAAGCAGGATGAGTGCAAAATGATAAAACAAAAAGAAAACTTTGTACAAATCAGCAATCTTTGGAAACCATAATGTAAAATTGCTGTGAGCAGAGCTCAGTATGTTGCAGGATTAGGGAGATGAAATGCAATATTCTTTGTTTTTAAGTATGTTTAAAATGTGTTTTGCCACAACAGCCTGATTGATTGCATTAGATTTATATCAAGCTTTGCCTGGAGTATTGAACAAAATACACATTAGCCCCCTCCAAAAGAGAGGGAGAGAGTTTGTGTGACTTTTCGTTTAAGAAACATAGGTGTCTTAAGGCATTAAATGGATATCCCCATGACCCTTTAAAAATGTTACTACTCTGCTTCCAGCGTTTCTTGTAGTTTTAATAGATTGCAGTTTGATATTAGGACTGTTTGTGTAATTGACTGTTCAACTGCAGGTGTGCTAAATATGTGCTAAATTCACTTTCAGAGACGAGAGGAAAAAGGGGAAGAGAGAGAGACACTCGAGAGGAACGTGACTATGACCAAGAACAGAGCGCTCCCAGGGATCACAGAGACGATCGAGAATCGAGGGACGGGCGGGACCGGAGGGAAACCAGGGATAACAGAGACCGTAGGGATTTAAGAGAATCTCGAGACACTCGAGACTCACGGGACACGAGGGGCTGTAGCAGAGACAATAAAGAAGGTCGCGATCAGAGAGACCTGCGTTCTGCACGGGACACCCATGACTACAGAGACCGCGAGTGCCGAGACTCCCACAAAAAGGAAGAGCAGTATTTGGATGAATCACGTAGCTATGGAAGAAGCCATGGCAGAGAAGAGAGCTCTCGTTCCGAAACGAGGACAGACTCGAGAAGTGAGAGTAGAAATGAATCTAGAACCTCTGGAAGAAGTAGAGGAAGAGGACCTGAATTATCGGACAAAGGTATAATAAATGAAATGCTGGTTTTTTGTTGCATGATTCAGAGGCAAATTTCATTAAAGTTGAACTGTTTTCCTTCACTAAATCTCCTTTCACCATTAAAATCCTGTCGGCCTTCTGCCCCACTTACAAACTACAGACACCATCCTGTTTAATTTATCTGCAACTTTGTGGGTATTCCAAAGAGTTATGAAATACTACGGAGCAGATGGGCAATGGGAAGGTAGAAATCAACTTGATTGTTGCCTTTTTAATAAGCATTTGCTTTTATGTGTTAAGAGATCTAATATTAGACTGTATTTTTCTACATCGCCACTCCGATCCGTTCCACCTCTGCTTCACGAGATTGCCCCAGATTTCTTACCCAGCAGGTAAACTATCAAGTTTAGGGGATACAATTTTAATTCACCAGTGACCCTACTGAGAAAATAACAGTCTGATAGTGAAATTCAGCAGGGTTGTCCCACTTGTGCAGCAGACTTCCGCTCATGTAAATAGGATTGTCCTGCCATCTCCTCCCTCCTCTCCTGTCCCGGACTCCAGATCCATTTCAGAGAGTTGCAAGACACTTCAGCATATTTAGAGAGTCACAGGAGACTACAGTGCAAGGAGAGGAAGGGGAAGTAACTCATGAATCCGCCGGCACAACACTGGCTCTCACCATGCATGTATTTTTAAGTTAAAACTAATTATAAACATTTTTAGATTATGAAAAAAGGTTTTCACGATCCTGTAACCTTTCAGCACGGCAGCAGGCCATCTCCCTGTGCTTTTCTACATGTCTGTTTTCATTAGGTAGTCGAGGAGCAAGGGGATCTCAGGTCGACAGCCACAACACCAGCAGCAGCTACCACGACAGCTGGGAATCTCGGAGCAGTTATCCCGACAGGGATCGCTACGAAAACCGTGAGCACACGAGGGACTCTTCCTTTGAAAGAAGGCATGGGGAAAGGGACAAGCGCGACAACAGAGAGAGAGGTAGGCACTGTTTATACTTGTATCAGCAAGTAGCTGAAGCAGAACAGTTTTCTAAGGACAGTTATGCAGGGGGGAGAGTGACTTAACAGTTGAATAAAGAGGAAAATGGGCTCCCTGTATTCAAGAAAGGCAGGGAGAAGAAGTAGGCTCCCAGGTGGAAGAATCTATCACCTCTGAATTATTATTATTATTATTATTATTATTATTATTATTATTATTATTTATACCCCGCCCTCCCCAGCCAAGGCTGGGTTAACAAGCAATAATAAAAACAAGTTGAATGAATACAACTTAAAAACAAGATTAAAATACAACATTAAAATATTAAAATGCAGCCTCATCACAGGAGGAGAAAGGAGAAAGAAAAAAGAAAGGGGGAGGGAATCAAATTGGCTCCAAGCCAAAGGCCAGGCGGAACAACTCTGTCTTACAGGCCCTGCGGAAAGAAATCAGATCCTGCCGGGCCCTGGTCTCATGAGGCAGAGCGTCCCACCAGGCTGGAGCCAGTGTTGAAAAGGCCCTGGCTCTGGTTGAGGCTAATCTAACTTCCTTAGGGCCTGGGACCACTAGGGTGTTGTTATTTATGGACCTTGAGGCTCTCCATTGAGCTTACCGGGAGAGGTGGTCCCGTAGGTACGAGGGTCCTAGGCCGTGAAGGGATAAATGTGGATAAATGACAGGGTATACATGATAGAAATATGCTGAAGGGCCTTACAGGTATTTCCCCCCCCCCCTCTTTCCTCTTGCTTTTTTAATATTCTTATTCTGTAGATTAGTTTGATTTTTACTGTATTTTATCTTGAAAATTGTTAATAAAACATTTTGGGGTGGGGGGTGGGAGAAGGAAATGGACTGACTGTGGTCCTGCTACTTCAGCGAACATAGTAGTTGTTAACTAGTTTGGTAACTTGGGCCAATATTAGAAGCACCACCATTTGGCTGATCAGTGGTGCCTGCAAATCCCATGTCAGGTGTAGGGCAGATGTAGGGCACTTTTGGCTTGGCCAAAGCTCCCTTATGTGTCCAGTGGGGAGGCCTGCCAAACTCATGGGCTGTAGCTTCCCTTCTGCAGGAATACACAAATAATTAGCTGGATGTTGAAGTCTGTCTGTTTATGCAGGGAAACGAAACCTGTTTTATCATTTCAGATCCAAGACCAAGCTCGCCAGTACGACACCAGGGAAGGAACGATGACGTCGAACGTGATGAAAGATTAGAAGAGCGAAGGGGAGATAGGGGTGAAGACCGAAGAGATGAAAGACAGAGGGAGAGGGAGAGAGAGCGCGAACGCGAGCGAGAAAGGGAGCGCGAGAGAGAAGCTGAGCGTGAACGTGCCCGTGAGCGAGAACGCGAGAGAGAAAGGGATAATAAAGACAGGGAACGGGACAGGGATCACGACAGAGAAAGAGAGCGGGAGAGGGAAAGAGAGAGGGAGCGAGAACGGGAGCGGGAAAGGGAAAGGGAACGAGAGCGTGAACGAGAGAGAGGGCGTGAAAGAGAGAAGGAAAGGGAGCGCCAGAGAGAGTGGGAGGACAAGGAGAGAGGAAGAGAAGAACGCAGAGACAAGCGAGAAGACATCCGGGAAGAAAGGGCCACACGAGATAGTCGCGAAGAGAGGAAGTCAAAGTAAGTTTGGTTTTTAAAAGAAAATGAACTGATATTTAGAATGGCCAGTTTGGCAGCACCAGACGGCAAAAGGACTAAATGCCTCTATGGTTAGGCCTGCAAAAGGATAATTGATTGGGGATACATTGAAGGTTCATGTGCCATATGGTAAAAAAATAAAAATTAAAAAAGAAGACTAGCGCACACTTCACTGATCCTTTGTAAAATTTTGATTACATACTCATAGAATGGTGTAGTTGGAAGGGACCCCCATAGGTCATGTCGCTACAATTTGTTACAGTTCTGTTTGTTTTTATGGTGAAAGATGGGAGATTTCTTAGAAGTGCATAAAATTTGATTGTGTTTTTTTGGCCTGATATAGAAAACGTCACAGAAATGAAAGTAGCCCCAGCCCTCGTAAATCACCTAAGCGCCGCCGTGAGCATTCACCTGACAGCGATGCCTATAACAGTGGAGAAGACCAGAGTAAGTAAAAGCATGCAGTCCCCATGCTAGATGCAGATTAGAAGTAATTGCTTTCATTTCACAAGCTGAGATAGCAAAGGATGACTTGTTTGTATATGTGTTTGTATGTCTGTATGTGTTTTATTTCTGAGTTGTGTGTGCAAGGCTATCATTTTTGCAGAGATTTGGTTTCTTAAGTGAAGCATTTATCTTGCATTTTGCATTTCAAAGTCCGTCCTATTTCTGATACTTACCTTCCCCTGCCCATTTTAGAGGCATTTTACCATGATCATAAAGATGTGAAAATGCCAGAGCATTTGCAGATTAGCTAAAAACATGAGTGGAACTTGAAAAAACAATGAAGGCTGAGTTAATTAACAGTGGCTACTAACATGTCAGTCTGCAAGTTCTCCTTGACTGTTGGCTGTGCGAGCACAAAACTCCAAAAATTAGAATTTAATCTAATTTACCATGTTTATTTTACTTGTATTTAGTAAACAGAGCTAATAATTTTGAAACTGCCAACTTTCCTCATGCTGTAATTGCAATTCTTATCCATTCATTGCGAATTAGATTCTGAAAAAGAAAATGCTATAGTTTAAAATGTTAGAAACATTTTCACCAAAAGTACATCACTGATGTGTAGTCTGGCCAAAGATATTCTAGAGTATCCTTCTTTACTTTCAGGTGGTATTTATAGGATAAGGAAATAGTTTATATGTATTGATGGCAGTTTTCTTATGAGCATCTTTCATGTCAAATGTGTTTGTGGGTTTTTTTTAAAAAAAATGGGCATTTAAAAATGTAACTGGCAACGGACGTACAAGGAATTCTGTCCCTTAATGTTGGATATGTGCAGACCACTTAGTTGTGACCTAAGCGAGACAATCAGATGTAAGGGCCTGTTCAGAAAAGAAGTGTCATGACATATTTTTCATCTTTCACAGACGAAAAACGCAGATTACTGAGTCAGGTTGTACGACCTCAGGAATCGCGCTCACTTAGTCCTACACACCTTTCAGAAGACAAGCAGAGCCGGTGGAAAGACAGCGACCGAAAGCCGGAGAGAAAGGACAGCTCCAGACACTATGAGGAAAGTGATTTCAAGGAGCGGAGTTCTTCTTCTGGGGACAAGCAGCGAGAGCAGCGGGAGACCAACGAAAGTTCAAGGAGCCGGGTGCAAGAAATCATAAGCAACCGGGCTTCTGAAGAACGAGAGGCTGCTGACCATGCGCATGAAGATAAGAAAAAAGTTAAAATACAGAAAAAGGCCACAAAGAAGAAGAAAGAAGATGACGTCGCACTGGAGCGCTTTGTTAGCGAGCCGGCTCCAGAGAAAGCCCAGGTCTTTTCTCCCAAGAAAGCGCAGAAAAAGAAGAGCACTGAAAAGAAGCGCAAAAGATCGAAAGGAGATTCGGAGGCTTCTGATGAGGACAGCGGCCCACACCAGAAAAAGAAAAAAGGCCCAAGGACACCACCAGTAACCACCAGAGAGGAGCTGGTGGAAGCAGTGCCTGAGAAATCTGTGGTTGTAGAAGCCGCGCCCAAGAGAGAGGACACAACGTTTAGCGACTGGTCGGATGAGGACGTTCCAGAGCGTGGGGAAAGTATTCTGGAGAGGAGTTCGGAGGAGCCCCACAGAACTAGCCATCGCGCAAGGACTGAAGCTGTGGAGCCCCCTCACGTGGTTGAGGAGCCCCCTCACCATAAACCTACTGAGGAGAAGAGAAGCAGCAGTCTTTGTAGCAATCGGAGCCGTACCTCCAGTCGACTTCGCTCACCCTCCAATGATTCTGCGCATCGTAGCGGAGATGACCAGGCCGGCCTTAAGAAGATCCTACATAGCAGCGCTAGCGACAGAGAGAGAGAAAGGAGGTGTCTGGAAATTGCCGGAGAGCGGAAGTCGAGAATTGATCAACTAAAACGAGGGGTTCCCAGCCGCAGCACCTCTTCAGGTAGTTCCACTTGTGTTTCTCTGCTTGCGCAAGCTGCCTCTGCCTGCTTTTTCCTCAGATTCTCATAATACCTCAGACCTTTGCTAAGCATCAGCCAACACCAGGGAGAGGCTGCAATGGGGAGAGGATCAGGAAAGTTGCTGGCTTCCACTTACCCAGGTGTTGTATAAAACAATTCCTCTTGTGAGCCAGTGTGGTGTAGTGGTTAAGAACGGTAGACTCGTAATCTGGGGAACCGGGTTCGCGTCTCTGCTCCTCCACATGCAGCTTCTGGGTGACCTTGGGCCAGTCACACTTCTCTCTGAAGTCTCTCAGGCCTCACTCACCTCACAGAGTGTTTGCTGTGGGGGAGGAAGGGAAAGGAGAATGTTAGCCACTTTGAGACTCCTTTGGGTAGTGATAAAGCGGGATATCAAATCCAAACTCCTCTTCTTCTTCTTCATTGAAGGTTGGTTGTTGGTTTATTATTTTCCTGATGCTACGCCATCTTTAAATTTTGAAATTGATTTGTAGACTTCGTTATTGTCTTCATTAATAGCGTGAATTTGGACTCAAGTAGCCCCCATGGCGGCTTTCAGTTTAAAATGGCATATAAAACAATAAACAAACCATGATGCCTTTTCTAACCATGGAACATCTTTAGATGTTCAATGCCAACTGCTTAGATCCTTAGTAGCGTCACCTTTGCCTGTATTCTAAGGCGGTCCTATCACAAATATATTCTGCCCTTGCTGGTTGGGGATAAACATTTCATTTTGACAAAATGTGGGAAGGTGTAAAGGTGCACCTTCAGAGCAGAAGCATCCAAACCTTCTGCTTCCCAGGAACCCTTCCCATATTGACTCATTTGCTGAGGGAGTTTTTCCTGTCTGCCAAAGAAACCTAGAGAATGGTAGGGGTGGGAGTCTGGGCACATAGGATCATACCCTAGTTTGTAAAGCAGCACTTAAACCACAGTTTCCTAGTGTGGACATCAAGGGAAACCATGTTCTAACAAACCAGAATATCAGCTTCAAAGGGGAAGAGCAAGAAGAGAGCTGGCGGAACATGGCTTCTTCTCAGCCAAGCTCTGTTAGGTGTGTAGTCCACGTACAACATAATCATGCACCTGCTTAACACTTTTATCCAGATCGACAGGATTCAAGGAGCCACAGTTCCAGGCGAAGTTCTCCTGAATCGGATCGCCAAGGTCATTCCAGATCTGGGTCCTTTGACAGCAGGGAAAGGGTGCAGGAGAGAGACAGGCATGAGCACGATCGTGAACGGGAACGACGAGAGGCGAGGCAGAGAGATTGGGACCGAGATACAGCCAAAGACTGGTTAAGGAACAGAGAGCGGGACAGAATTCGCGAACGAGAGAGACAGCGAGAAAAGCGAAGGGATACAGATCGTGAAAAGGAGAGGCTACTCCTGGAGAATCCTGAGAGAGATCGAGGTGCCAATATTTCCTCTCAAGCAGAGCTATCCAAGCACAGTGAAACAAAACCGGGCAAGGAGCATCCAGAATTTGAGGTGATCTATTTGGACTCTACCTCCCTCGAGAAGGAAAGGCTAGATAAAGACTTGGGACCTTTGCAAGGATTCGAAGATGGGGTTGAAGCTGAGAAAGTGGAACATTTAGAAGGTGATGTATTATTGGTCTGTTTTTGCTGTCCAAATACCTGAATGAATCTTCTTGATGGAGAATTGCGTGTTTCATCATCTTCTTGTTTGAGGGTTCTGATCTTGGGTCCACTTCACAACACCATCTCAGCAGTGTAGCCAGAGCCCTGAACAGTGTAGATGCCTCTAGAAGAGTGTGTTTGACTCTTCTTCCATGACCTCCAATGCAAATCATTCTCATTCTCTCTCTCTCTCTCTCTCTCTCTCTCTCTCACACACACACACACACACACACACACACACACACAGTTGCTCTAATAGGGTTAGGGAGGGACATGGACATTATCTGCATCCTCTGTGCCCTGCCTCCTAGAGCCAATTGCAGTGAGGAGTTTATGCCAAGGGAAAGAGACAGGAGGAAAAGGTTGCAACATATTTCTCCCCAAACACTGTTTCCCTGCTAACAAGAACAGGAAGGTAAAGGGACCCCTGACCATTATGTCCAGTCGTGACCGACTCTGGGGTTGCGGCGCTCATCTCGCTTTATTGGCCGAGGGAGCCGGCGTACAGCCTCTGGGTCATGTGGCCAGCATGACTAAGCCGCTTCTGGCGAACCAGAGCAGCGCACAGAAACGCCGTTTACCTTCCCGCCGGAGCAGTACCTATTTATCTACTTGCACTTTGATGTGCTTTCGAACTGCTAGGTTGGCAGGAGCAGGGACCGAGCAATGGGAGCTCACCCAGTCACGGGGATTCGAACCGCTGACCTTCTGATCAGCAAGTCCTAGGCTCTGTGGTTTAACCCACAGCGCCACCCGCGTCCCTAACAAGAACAATAGGAGATCCTAATTCATCTCCTGCAGCATGTTCAGTTGGCGCTTAAAATGACAACAAAAGTGTGTAGTATGGAAAGTTTCTTGTTAAAACTCTTAACCAACTGGGTTTTAAAAATTCTCCCCAAATATAATATGCAGCTCACATTTGGTTTGGATCCAAAAACTGCTATCTGCTAACACCGAGCGGTGATCTCTGGTTTTTGCCCTTTGTGCTTCAGCCACCCACATCCCATGCCATTTCAAAGAGGGGCCCAAGACTCTGTAGCATTTGCGGGGTGGGGGGGGGGGAGAGATAGGCAACTTTAGTGGGATCACTCTTCTATAAATTGAACTGGACTCTGACATTAGGATCCAAGCCATGGAAGGTCTGCATTTCATTGATGTTGGTATTAGTGAGCTTGAAAGTTAAAACAGATATGTTTTGGCACTGTTCTTCTGTAGGTGGGGATGATGAAGTCAAAATAGATGATATGCAGTCAATGGGATCCGGTGCTGGAGAATATGAGCCAATTAGTGATGATGAACTGGATGAAATTTTGGCTGGTGATGCTGAAAAGAGGGAGGATCAACAGGACGAGGAGAAGATGCCAGGTGATATTATTATTATTATTATTATTATTTATTTATACATACATACATACATACATACATACCCCACCCATCTGGCTGGGTTTCCCCAGCCACTCTGGGCGGCTTCCAACAGAACACTAAAATACAATAACCTATTAAACATTAAAAGCTTCCCTAAACAGGGCTGCCTTCAGATGTCTTCTAAAAGTCTGGTAGTTGTTATTCTCTTTGACATCTGGTGGGAGGGCATTCCACAGGGCGGGTGCCACTACCGAGAAGGCCCTCTGCCTGGTTCCCTGTAACTTGGCTTCTCACAGTGAGGGAACCGCCAGAAGGCCCTCGGTGCTGGACCTCTGTGTCCGGGCAGAACCATGGAGGTGGAGATGCTCCTTCAGGTATACTGGACCGAGGCCGTTTAGGGCTTTAAAGGTCAACACCAACACTTTGAATTGTGCTCGGAAACGTACTGGGAGCCAGTGTAGGTCTTTCAAGACCAGTGTTATATGGTGAGTTTTAGTAGTCCTTTTTATGTCAGGCCTGTGTGAATTGAAATAAATTCAACCCTTTTGTTTTATGTCTACACAGCTTCTATGTAAAGATAATCTGAACTCTGCAGCCTGCCTAATTTGTACACATTAAATGAATGGCCTTCATTTTGTGATTTTGCTTAATTCCACTTCTGTTAGTCATGGGAAAGGGAAGAGAAATTTTCCTCTTCTCTTAAGTTTTGTATCCCATCAAAATAACAGAATAACATATCAGTTTCTGGTTTGTAAACAGTGTGTAAAGTACAGCTTCCTGGTCCAGATCATGGGAAACCATAGTTTTAAGAAGTCATGACTTCAGCACCAAAGCTGGGAACATGATGGGAGGGGAAAGGAAAGGAGCCGTTGTGGCGTAGTGGTTAGAGTATTGGACTAGGACCTTTAAGAGCAAGGTTTGAATCCCCACTCAGCCATGAAGCTCACTGGGTGACTTTGGTCCAGTCACCATCTCCTACCTCACAGGGTTGTTGCTAGGATCAAACGTGGAGGAGAACCATATACACCACCTTGAGATCCTTGGAAGGTAAAGCTGGTGTATAAATGTAATGAATAAATATGGATGCAGGACTTGTTCCCAGTCTAATAAACCATCACTGGTTGTGATGTCTGAACCCAGCCACATCCCACTTGAGCCAGTCACTGCCTCTCCTCCTAATCTGCATCACAGGGTTGCTGTAGAGATGATGAGGGGTAAAACTCTGTATGCCACCTTGAGCTCCTAGGAGAAAAGATGGGATATAAATGCAACCAATAAGAAAATAAGAAATAAGCTTAATAGCCAAGTGACTTTGGAAAGAGTTAAAATTGTGCTATGATATTTTTTTTAAAAAACCCCAAACTTTACTGTTTAACTTCTGTCCAATTATTAAATCTTGCCTGAGCCAGAATGAAGAAAAGTCTCTCTCAATGTTTCTCATCAAGGAAGAAACTCAAGAGATTCCTCTCTTCTCCTCCTCCTCCATCCCCCTTTGCTATAGAGTAGCTGGCAACTGTCACTTACTGTATTTTCCGCTCCATAAGACGCAACTAGTTTTTAGAGGAGGAAAGTGGAAAAGCCCCGTTTTTGGGGGGATCAGCTCACAGTTGTGCAGCTTCTTTTGCAAAGGGGAAAAAACCCCCCTTTTTGAGGATCAGCTCAAAGTTGTGCAGCTTACTTTGCAAAGGGAAAAAAATCCTGTTCTTATGGGGTTCAACTCACAGTTCTGCAGCTTCTTTAGGAAAGGAAAGGGAGCTGTTTCTACAGTTTCCAGACAGATAATCTAATCAGCCAGTCACTGGGGAAACAAACAGCCTCTACCTGCAGAACATTCAGCAATGGAGGCCTGGGCAAGGGGGCGGGGCTGGAAAGGGAGCCAGCGATCGACCACACATTCGCTCCATAAGACGCACAGACATTCCCCCTTCCTTTTTAGGAGGAAAAAAGTGGATCTTATGGAGCGAAAAATACGGTAGTTTATTCAGAAATAGATGTCCTGTTAATTCCAGATTTCTAGCCATTTAAAGGACTGTAGTATCCATTGTATGGTAATAAGTGAGAGACCATTTTTTTCAGCACTGCCTTATATGTCCTGTTGAGTGGAGGAATAACATCTTTTTTGTGTGTGTTTTCAGATCCTGTGGATGTAATAGATGTAGACTGGTCTAGTCTAATGCCAAAGCAGCCCAAAGAGCCGCGAGAGCCCGGAGCTGCTCTTCTGAAATTTACTCCCGGCGCTGTTATGTTGAGAGTCGGCATTTCCAAACAACTCGCTGGCCCTTCACTCTTCACCAAAATTAAAGAAACATGCCAGAGAACAATAGAGAAGCCTAAAGGTAATAATTGGCTTGCCGGATCTGTCCAATTGAAGCTAGAAAAACATCCAAGGATTTTGTTAGTTTTGTATAGGTAAAGGTAAAGGGACCCCTGACCACTAGGTCCAGTCGTGACTGACTCTGGGGTTGCGGCACTCATCTCGCTTTATTGGCCGAGGGAGCCGGTGTACAGCTTCCGGGTCATGTGGCCAGCATGACTAAGCCGCTTCTGGCGAACCAGAGCAGCGCACGGAAATGCCGTTTACCTTCCCGCCAGAGCGGTACCTATTTATCTACTTGCACTTTGACATGCTTTCAAACTGCTAGGTTGGCAGGAGCAGGGACCGAGCAACGGGAGCTCACCCCGTTGCGGGGATTCGAACCACCGACCTTCTGATTGGCAAGTCCTAGGCTCTGTGGTTTAACCCACAGCGCCACCCGCATCCTTAGTTTTGTATGGGCTGTATCAAATCAGCCGTTTGAAGTGTCCATTCAAGTAGCAACATGCCCAATAAGTATGACGTGAGTAAGGGGATTTGTGTATGTGTTGCTGCTCCGTTGAAATATTGAAATGTTGCACACAAACCATCCAAGATCCTTGAAAGTGACATGGAAGGTAATATTTACTCTCACTATAAAGTATCCCCAAGTGCAACACTTTAATTTTCTGTATAGGAGTGAAAAGCCACCGTTCACTTAGCTGAGGAGGAAATAAAGGATCAGAGAAACTCTTGGGGTGTGGGCCACTCATAAGTTACCGTAGTCTCCTGATGACCCTAGTAATCAAATTTGGTGCTCCATCATTCACTTTAGTTACACACACTCTTCTCTTGACATAGTACAGCTGTATATTGGTGTCTTATCCATCATTTTACCAACGTTTTCTTAATATTATATTCTTTATGTTGCTTTTCTGTAGATGCCGAGAACTTATTTGAGCATGAATTTGGGGCCCTGAACATGGCTGCCCTGCTGCGAAAGGAAGAGCGATCTGGCCTGCTGTGTAATCTTGGTCCCTGTTGCAAGGCCCTGTGCTTTAGGAGAGACTCCGCAATCCGCAAGCAGCTAGTCAAAAACGAAAAGGCAAGTGCAGCTAACAGGCCACCGCATCACAAACACATTTTAAACACTCAGTAATTGCAAAGCGACTTGATCTTTTAACTTTGAGACTTGTATCGATGGAATCATCTTTATATGCATCTAAACCAACCTGGTGTACCCTTCCCTTGTTTCCTAAGCCACCTAAGTTAGGTTTCTTCTGCAAATGGGTTTGGTACTTGTCCAGATACCATTTTTTTCCTTTTAAAAAGTGGCAGAAATTTACCGTATTTTTTGCTCTATAAGACTCACTTTTTCCCTCCTAAAAAGTAAAGGGAAATGTGTTCGTCTTATGGAGCAAATGCAGGCTGCGCAGCTATCACAGAAGCCAGAACAGCAAGAGGGATCGCTGCTTTCGCTGTGCAGCGATCCCTCTTGCTGTTCTGGCTTCTGGGATTCAGAATATTTTTTTTCTTGTTTTCCTCCTCCAAAAACTAGGTGCGTCTTGTGGTCTGGTGCATCTTATAGAGCGAAAAATACGGTAATTAATGACTGAACACTAGAGGCTTTTAAGACCTGATGACTTCTCACTTTAGTGGCTGTTTTAAGATGCTCTTCTCCCCTGAAATAATTCTAGATACCTGTGGAAATTATCATTTTCCAGACATACTGCTAAATGTTCTTCCGATAAACCAGGCACTGTTCATTAGCACTAGTTGTGTAGCATCTTTAAGTTCATAGAGTGACAGTGTCTGAACCCACCATGCAGCTGTGACTAACTTGGCAATTGTTCTCCATTCAAACAGGGCACAACCAAACAAACCTACACAAATCCTCCAGTAGTAGACAACGAGTTACTTCGGTTGAGTCTACGGTTGTTTAAACGCAAGACTGTTCGCCAAGTTTCTGGACAAGAAAAGACAGAGGACACTAAGCTTCCACAACCGTATATCCCAGAAATCTGCATGTCCTGAGCTGGTCAGTGTCTCTGGCCTTTTCACTGTTTGATAATAGTTGATGTTTCCATCTTTATTCCTGTGAAGATGTATGTTTGTGCTAGAAGAGGAAAACACCTTCCATACGTACAGTGTGCATTACGAGATGGGATAACAAAGAAGGTTGTTTGTACAACAGTTCAAAGACCTTTCTGTTTGGTTCACTGCATGTTTTTAGTACATCTAACAACAGATCTTATTTAAGAACTCACTTGTATTTAAGTGTGTGAAGATGTCCATTTTTGGAGACTTGTTTTGTCACCTGCTATTAAATTTTTAAGAAAAAAACATGAGATTTTTAAAAAAGGCTTGTGTATAAAGTTTCTTCTGCAAAATTTTCTTATCAATGAGATTTTTTACATTTAGTGCAAAGCTGTGCCACGTTTAGTCTGTAGCATTCATGTCAAAAATACAACCACATAAAGTCTTGTTTTCTCAATGTGTGAACATTGTACTGTTACCTTCATTTTTGGCTAGCATAATTTAGCTTCAGCAACACAGAAGCTAATAATGTGGTAGCTCTTTTTACAGATGAATGCGTTGCTTTTATAACCGTTGCTTCTGTCTTCCTAAGTGCAAACACTTCCCCAACCAAAGGTAAATTGTTTGCTTGGCTAGTAAGAGACACACCTGTTCCAAGGAACAAGGGTTGAGTAAGAAATAACCCCTTGCTTCAGAATACTCGAAGTACAATGTAGATTTACCTGAGAATAACAATTCCCATATAATGAAATTAGTTATATACTAAAAATAGAGAAATACATCTCCGCAAAACAGTCTAAAAGGGGGAACCCTGTTCTACTGAAGTGAATGGAAACATTCAGAATGATTATATGGGATCAAGGGTGCAGTACAGATGTAACCTCCTTTGTGGGGTTTAAGTTAAATCACATGGAGTTGTTGCTTATGACTATGTCTCCCTATTTTGCTGGCTGAAGTGCTAATGTCTTAGGTTTTAGCAGTACATACCAACATTACCAACATGGGAACGCGGGTGGCGCTGTGGGTTAAACCACAGAGCCAAGGACTTGCTGATCAGAAGGTTGGCGGTTCGAATCCCCGCGACGGGGTGAGCTCCCATTTCTTGGTCCCTGCTTCTGCCAACCTAGCAGTTCGAAAGCACGTCACAGTGCAAGTAGATAAATAGGTACCACTCCGGCGGGAAGGTAAACGGTGTTTCTGTGCGCTGCTCTGGTTCGCCAGAAGCGGCTTAGTCATGCTGGCAACGTGACCCAGAAAAATTGACTGTCTACAAACGCCAGCTCCCTCGGCCTATAAAGCAAGATGAGCTCCGCAACCCCAGAGTCAGCCACGACTGGACCTAATGGTCAGGGGTCCCTTTACCTTTCTTTACCAATATTATATGATTGCCAGACAATGGATGGAACCAATTTTGTGACAAAAAGAGGATTGTGCCAAAAACAGCATAGGGCATGTAATGCAAGTGAGCTTCAGGGAACAAAGCCCATAAACTTCTTCATCTTACACCTGCATATTCTCAGAGTTGTCTTTTGATGTAATATAAAAACTGCCTTGCTGCACAAGATGAGGATCAAAGAATTGTACACTTGGAAGAGACCTTGAGGGTCATCGAGTCCAACCCTCTGCAATGCAGGAATCTCAGCTAAAGCATCTGTGGTGGATGACCATCCAATCTTTGCTTAAAAACCAACAGTTCCAAGGGAATCTATTCCACTACAGGTATTGAACAGCTCTTACCATCTAACCCAGTGTTCTGTTTCCAGTAGTAGCTGGCCAGAAGACTGGATGTTTCCAAAGAGAACATAGCGGTGATTCATTCTTGGTCACATGCCTCCACATGGAGATTACATTTAGCTATCCTCTATGAATGTGCTATGAATAGCAATATACATGCTATTAACGCATTTCCAGATTGGCATCTTCTAACGTTTTTCCTTGGAGAATGGGAGTTTGGAACCTGACAGTTTGTCTTCTGGTTGATTTATAAAGCTATGTGGAGAAGTTACACAAGTACTAGGCATGCTATTAGTATTGCAATAAAAGACAGGATAAGTACATGGGTCAGAGTTTAATTTTCACTGAAATGAGAATACCAAGCGACTTGAATTAGGCTGCCCTATGGGCCAGGTAAGTTAGCTGATACTATACTGTGCGGCGCCAAATTGAATACAGGGGGTTTCACATGTTTTTAATAACATGATCAGTTATTACTTTGACTCCAGTAAGCGCTTCAGAGCAAGTTGGTTTAATTAAACTCTGAGGAAGCAAGAATCCATATGTTCCTCTGTCCCGAAGCTCAAAAGTGAAAGAATACTTTATACCAAGGTCATAAGCCCAGTCGTCTGATCCTCCTGGAGCTAAATCTATGGAAAGAAGCCAGAAATACTTATTATTCATGTCCTGTTCACAAAGATACTAAAATCTTTACGTTCTTACTGTAGCATTTTAGGTACTTACAGATTGTTTGTGCACCAGGGCCTGCAACATAGCGGTTTCTATGTTTACTTTTAATGGTATTGGCTACGTTGCTTGCCAGAAGTTGCTAAAAAAGGAAGGAAAAACGTTAATTAGCCTAAGAAAAAAACGTTAATTGCACTAATTTATGTAGATTTATGTTTAAGCTACAGACATAGTTAAGACACTTAAACAAGCAGATATACAGCGATGTGGCTAAGCCAAGGATTCTAAAGCATTCACACAGTTGCAACACAAGAAAAAATATCTGACCCTTCTTTAGTGCACAGTTTGAAAATAAAGTAAAATAGGAGCAAACTTAGGAAAATAATGCTCTAGGAAAACTTACATAGAAATCTCAGTTCTATGTTACGTCATAATCATGCTGTTCTATTCCTGAACCATTTATTGGCCATTATATATGCAGTAATATAAAAAGCTACATTCTTTACTCTTTAAAATATGTACTAGTCTTCCAAGAATTGGTGCACTCTGTTCTTGTGAGCATCTATCCACCCATCTTCTCAATCAGTGCCTGCTTATATTGCGAAGGAAATAATGTTTTGGAAAACAAAACCTTAAAGCATAACAATAAATTTATGTACACTTTCTTTTAGCTAAAAGGAAAAGAAACCTGACTAAATCAAAAGCCAGTACTGTTCAGTGCCGCCAGGTTTGAAGAAAACAAAACAACATTAAATGTATTTGTTGTAAAAAACCCAACACTTCCAGAATCCAGGATGAAGTCTCCTTAATTATACAGAGAAACACTCTTAGGCACGACATATACAAAAGCAATCTATATTTGCTTTATGTCAGTAAAGCCGTGTTAGCTAAGCAAGCAGATTTTAGCGATAGCACTCTCTGCAAATCCTTGGAAGAACCTTTATATTACCATAAGGGCAGAGGCCAGCTGTAGTTAATTCTGCAAGATGTTTTTATAAGCAAGTTCAAGTTCCGTGCATTTGTAACCTGGTGATCCAATCCGCTTACCTTTCCAGAAAGCTTTTTATTTCCTCCTTTGGATTCTGAAGTGATCCACAACAAAATAAATACTGACCAAAGCATTCAATCCAAATATTTGCTGCTGGGTCCCCTAATTCCTTTTCATCCCATGGGTTGAGAAACTTCATGGTGGAAAGGCAAACCAGCTCTCAGACTTCATTTGCTATAATTCTAGTTTTGCTAATCTGTGCAATTAAATGTTCCTGACCACTTCAATACTGAATATTAGGTATTATATTTTATGCATGTTTCCATAAATTAATTCTACTTGAATGTGGGGAAGTAGTTATTCTAGACAGGGTGGCCAATGGTTGTCTGTCAGATGTTGGACTATAGCTTGCATCACCTAGATCAGGGTTTCCGAAATGTAGGTCTCCTGCTGTTTTTGGACTACAACTCCCATCATCCCTAGTTAGCAGGACCAGTGGTCAGGGATGATGGGAGTTGTAGTCCCAAAACAGCTGGAGGCCCAAGGTTGAGAAACAGTGGCCTAGATTATCCTATCCATACTACATTCATTGCACAGTGTGGCTTAAAGCAGGGGTCAGCAAACTTTCAGCAGGGGGCCGGTCCACTGTCCCTCAGACCTTGTGGGGGGGGCGGACTATTTTTTGGGGGGGAGGGGGAATGAACAAATTCCTATGCCCCACAAATAACCCAGAGATGCATTTTAAATAAAAGGACACATTCTACTCATGTAAAAACACGCTGATTCCCGGACTGCCCGCGGGCCAGATTTAGAAGGCAATTGGGCTGGATCCGGCCCCTGGGCCTTAGTTTGCCTACCCCTGGCTTAAAGCTTCAATATTTACACCTATTTACACCCGTAGGAACAGTTGGGCGTTCTAGTCTTCCATGAAGTAAGTTTTTTTCCAAAATACTGTTTTCCCTGAATATTTTGTGCTTCACAAACGTTCTGAGTCTTAAGTATCACAAATAACGCACAGCACAGAATGGTCAGAGTCTCTCAGATCCCTTAGTAAGAGTCAACAACCGGAATACAGTGGTACCTCGGGTTAAGTACTTAATTCGTTCCGGAGGTCCATTCTTAACCTGAAACTGTTCTTAACCTGAAGCACCACTTTAGCTAATGAGCCCTCCGGCTGCTGCCGCGCCACCAGAGCACGATTTCTGTTCTCATCCTGAAGCAAAGTTCTTAACCCGAGGTACTATTTCTGGGTTAGCAGAGTCTGTAATCTGAAGCGTATGTAACCTGAAGTGTATGTAACGCGAGGTAAGGTAAAGGTACCCCTGCCCGTACGGGCCAGTCTTGACAGACTCTAGGGTTGTGCGCTCATCTCACTCTAGAGGCCGGGAGCCAGCGCTGTCCGCAGACACTTCCGGGTCACGTGGCCAGCGTGACGAAGCTGCTCTAGCGAACGGGCACCAGAGCAGCACACGGAAACGCCGTTTACCTTCCCGCTATAAAGCGGTACCTATTTATCTACTTGCACTTAAGGGTGCTTTCTAACTGCTAGGTGGGCAGGAGCTGGGACCGAACGACGGGAGCTCACCCCGCCACGGGGATTCGAACCGCCGACCATGCGATCGGCAAGTCCTAGGCGCTGAGGTTTTCCCCACAGCGCCACCCGCGTCCCGAGGTACCACTGGACAAAGCAGCTTTATTCAGACACTGTGGCTCAATTCAGATGTAATGACAAACCATGACTTGTCATGAGAATGAGTAACGTCACGTGCTGCCTCCACATGCAAGGGAAAGGATGCCAGAAGTTCCTGCCAGCTATTTTGCTATTTTGTCTGAAAATAGAAAGTGGTTGGTTTTTAATCTAGGGTCCCCAAACGATGGTTAATTCTGGTTTGTATGCAAACTGTTGTTTGATGAAATGGGAAGCTAGATGGGAAGAAGGAGGGGACACACGAAGAAGCTCTCTACTGCTCCTGCTCATGATGTCAAATCCTTGTATAGCATTACATTTGAACCGAGCCTGTGAGTAGAAACTGCCAGCGTTTAGCAATTTATGAAGGAAATCTCTTTTTGGGGG